AATTGAAGTATCTGGACCTTCTTCAAGGGCAGCCCCACGTAGAGCGCGTTACAGAAGTCAAGGTGGGAAGTCACCAGTGCATGTGTCACTGTCGCCAGGCAGTTGTTCTTCAGGTAGGGACGCAGCTGATGGATCAGCCGAAGCTGAAAGAAAGTGCTCCTCGCCACTGCTGTCACCTGAGCTTCCAGTGAAAGCTCTGGGTCGAGGAGCACTCCCAAGCTGCGGACCTTGTCCCTAAGAGGGAGTGCAACCCCATTCAGGACTAAGTTCAGGTCCCCTTTCCCGAAGCCTGATTCGCCAACCAACAAGATCTCCGTCTTGTCTGGATTGAGCTTCAGTTTATTGGCCCTCATCCAGCCCATTACCTCGGCCAGGCACCGGTTCAGTACAGCCACTGCCTCACCTGGATTGGTAGAGAACAAGAGGTAGAGCTGGGTATCATCAGCATACTGATGATTCTGAAGCCCACACCTCCTGATGACCTCTCCCAGCGGTTTCATGTAAATGTTGAACAGCAAAGGGGACAAAATGGACCCCTGCGGTACTCCATGGCATAGCTGTCATGGTGCAGAGTCATAGTCCACCAGCATCACCTTCTGGAATCAGCCATTGTGATAGGAGCGGAACCACTGCAAAGCAGTGCCTTCGACCCCCAATCCCGCTAGCCTATCCAGAAGGATACCATGGTTGATGGTATCGAAAGCCGCTGAGAGGTCCAGGAGAACCAACAGGGACGCACTTCCTGTCCTCCTTCCTGCACAGGTCATCGTACAGGGCGACCAAGGCAGATTCAGTACTGTACCCGGGCCTGAAGCTGGACTGAAATGGGTCCAGATAATCAGTTTCATCCAAGAGTGCTTGGAGTTGTCCCGCCACCACCCACTCCAACACCTTGCCCAGAAATGGGATGTTGGCCACTGGTCTATAATTAGTGGCCATCTCTGGATCCAGTGACGCCTTCTTCAGGACCGGTCAGACTACTGCCTCCTTTAAAGGGGCAGGTACCTGGCCCTCCCTCAGAGAGGTGTTAACCACTTCCAAGATCCAGGTCCCAATCCCGTGCTTGGCATTGTTAATTAGCCAAGATGGGCAAGGGTCCAATAGGCAGGTGATGGGACGTACTCGTCCAAGCACCTTGTTCACATCATCAGGCCGCAGTAACTGAAATTCATCTATCAATTTTGGACCAGACAGTGACATTGGTATCTCCCCAGAAGCCTCTGAATCACTAGTGGAGTCCAGCTCGTGACGAATCTGAGCGATTTTCTCCCTGAAATGCTTGGCAGAGTCATCACAGCAGGCCTTCGAGGGTGGAACCGGATCTTTCTTAGGGCCGGGACAAACCAGCCCTTGTACCACCCGAAAAAGCTCTGCCGGATGGCATTGTGAGGAGGCAATGAAAAAGGAGAAGAATTTCTTTTTCACCACCCGCACTGCCATCTATTTGCCAGGAAGTGATAGGACTGGATGCCATGATCTTAGTTTTCTTAATGCTGAGTTTCAAGCCAACTTTTGCGCTCTCCTCCTTCACCCACATCAAGAGGCTCTTTAGTTCCTCTTCACTTTCTGCCATTAAAGATGATGAGGGAGCTGGAAACAAAGCCTTGTGAGGAGAGACTGAAAGAACCAGAAGGTGGCGCTGGAGGACTTTGGAGTACCGCAGGGTTCCATCTTGTCCCCCTTGCCATTTAACATCTACATGAAACCTCTGGGAGAGGTTATCAGGAGGTTTGGGTTGCGGAGTCATCAGTATGCTGATGACAGCCAGCTCTGCCTTTCTTTTTCAACTGATCCAGGTGAGGCAGTGGCTGTCCTGAACTGGTGCCTGGCCGAGGTAATGGGCTGGATGAGGGCCAATAAACTGAAGCTCAGTCCAGATAAGATGGAGGTTCTGTTGCTGGGTGATTCGAGCTCCTGGGTAGGTGACTTGAGCCCTGCCCTGGACGGGGTTGTACTCCCTCTAAAGGACAGGGTCCGCAGCTTGGGAGTGCTCCTTGACCCGGATCTGTCCTTGGGAGCCCAAATGACGACGGTGGCAAGGAGCGCTTTCCTTCAGCTTCGGCTAATCTATCAGCAGAAGAGGAGGATTGCCTAGCAACAGTAACACATGCATTGGTTACTTCCTGGTTGGTTTTCTGTAACGCGCTTTATGTGGGGCTGCCCTTGAAGACAGTCTGGATACTTCAGATGGTTCAAAATAGAGCTGCCAGGATGCTGTCGGGGACTGGGCGTTATTTTCATACAACCCCAGTCCTCTATCAGCTCCATTGGCTTCCCATCGAAGTCCGGGCTCAATTCAAGGTGCTGGTTGTTACCTATAAAACCCTAAAGCAGGGGTCCTCCAACTTTTCCACCAGGGGGCCAGTTGAAAGCTGCCAGTGCTGGGTGCAGGCCAGAAAGGTGGTGCCGGCACGGGGGCCGGGGCGGTGTGAGGGTGGGTGTGCTGAGGCTGGGGTGGGGTGTGCGGCGAGGCAAGGTGAAGCGAGGTGTGGACGGGCACGTGCCGCAAGGCAGGTGCATGAGGCAGAGGCTTGCTGGCTTGGAGATCGTTTTCTCCGAGCCAGCAAACTGCTGCCTCCCTGCGCGCGGGGCGAGGTGTGCGGTGGCGGGCAGGTGCGTGGGTGGCGTGCAGTGGGTCCAAATGGGCATGATGGACTGGATAAATGGGAATGGTGGGCTGGATCTGGCCCCTGGGCTGTAGTTTGAGGACCCATGCCCTAAACGGCTTGGGATCAGGATACCTAAAGGAACGCCCTTTTCCCTATTTGCCCTCCCGCCCCCTGAGATCTGGGAACCATCTGTGAAAGAATTTAGGAGACAGAGTACCCAGAGTGGCGCCCCGACTGTGGAATGTGCTCCCCAGAGAGGTCTGCCTGGCGCCGTCATATGTTTTTCGGCGCCAGGATAAGGCCTTTTTATTTAATCAATATTTTAATTTGTATTAATAGTAATTGGATGTTATTGTTTGTATTTTATTAATTACAGCCAGCGTGGAATAGTCCATTTATCTATTTTATTCTGATTTATGTTGTAAGCCGTGCAGAGAGGCAAGTAATGGATGGCGTACAAATTTTATAAATAAATAAACTGGACATGTTTAGTCTTGAGAAGAGAAGACTGAGGAGATAAGTTAGTACTTTTCAAGTACTTGGAAGGTCGTCACAGAGAGGAGGGCCAGGAGCTTTGCTTAATCATCTCAGAGTTTAGTACGTGGAATAAAAGGCTCAAGATATAAGAAGCCAGGTTCCAGCTGAACATAAAGAAGTTCTTCCTGAGTGTGAGAACAGCAAGACAGTGGAACCTATTACCCAGGGAGCTTGTGGACTCTCATACTGGAGGCACTGAAGGTGCAGCTTCATATCCATCTGTTAGGCATGGCTTAACTTGGAGTTCTACCCTGAGCAGGGAGTGGAACTCAATGGCCTTATTGACCCCTTCCAGCTCCACTATTTGATGATTCTATGGGAGTTATTAACTTTTTCATCTGTAAGTGGTCAGGTTCTTATGGCCAGTTAACTGTAAACACAGAATGATAGATCAGCATCTGTAGTCAAGTCTACGTATGAGGAAGTAGTAATAATGGAACCAGTGATGGCATTACACCAGTTCAGACTGCAAACTTTTCCCTTCCTGCAGTGTCTACATATGACACGAGAGATTTGTTGTTAGGATCTCCTGCAGATTTAAACATAAAATTTTAGAGAGTCTGAAGATTATTAATTGGATCAGGGCTCTGACAGGGGGTGGATTTAAACATCCTTATGTCATTCCTTTTTCCAGAGCATGAGTTTATCAAGAATGAGTCAGGCCAGACCAATCTTAAATCGAATTCCTAGTTGGGTAGATCATGGGCATGTTATGGGCAAAGCATATTGATTCCATCAATGTATTTGAAAATATTTTATGACAAGATGGTAAAATATGAGCTGGATGATATTATTATTAGAAGGTTCAACAGTTGGTTGAACAGCTTTATCCAACAAGTTCCCATTAATGGTTTTGCATCAGCCTGGGGGGAGGATTTGAACAGTGTGCTGCAGGGTACTGTGCTATACAACATCTTCTCACATAATGAAAGTACAGAGGGAAAGTATGGAGGTGCATATTAAATTTAGAGGACAAAATAAATCAAGGTGAATTTGTAAAAGACAAAAATGGACAAACAATCCTTGACTGGCTGGAACACTGGGCAGAAACCAACAGGATGAATTCCACCAGGCATGAATGCAGGACTTAACATTCACGTACCAAAATTCCCCCAAGTATAAGATGAGGGAGATCTGGCTTGACATCGGTATATCTGAAAAGGTGTCCTAGCTGATAACCTGAACATGCTAAGTGCAATGTATTGCTTAAAAAGAGGAGAGGAGAGAGAGAGAGAAGACTGTATTAACATAAGCACAGCATCTGGATCATGTGAAGTAGGAAGTCTTGTGTGGGCTTTATAAACTAGTTAGCATGGAAATGATGTATGTCCTGGCCCTTTCTACTGCACTTCTCATCTGAGGAGAGGCTGTAATCACATTCTACAGAATGCAGCTAGTGTCACCTTTGCTACATGTGAAAGATTGGAAATGTATTTAACTAAGCACGAATACAATCTCCCTTCAAACTTTCAATTCCGAAAGAGTCTAAAAGCATAGTTCAGGAACTTTGAAAAGCATCTGAAGGATTGTTAAAAGGATATATATAGTCATGAAGAACTCCTTTCTTGGTTGCAGTAATGGGCAGAGCAACTGCATTGTGACTGATCTATTTAATTTTGAATGACTTCTCATTGGTGTACCTTATACAGATTAAATTATGTATTCCCTGATATTGATGAAATGCCTAGCAATGTAATTGGTTGGGTAATGTTTTATGTGGTCTTAGGCTTGAAGGAAAGTTACTTTCAGACTGAAACAGCACTGAACATAGTTAACATCTAACATAGAGTAATTATTCACTTTACATGCTGTTTGGGGTTTTGTGACATTTTACTCAACTTTTTTTTAAAATAGGTTCTTACTAATGGCATCATTGCAGTGAGTGAACCATTAAGAGAAGCAGATTATCTTGGTGAATTTCCTCTCAGTTTTGGAGGTATTGCTCCTTTCTATGCTGATTTGGATACGACAGGTGGTCATGGAAAGATATATTATAGAGAAGATTCATCTCCTGATATTCTTCAGCTTGCAGCCAAGTTTATTAGAAGGGGCTTCCCAGAGACTGCCTTTGACCCAAGCAAGGTCATAATTGCTACTTGGGTTTCTGTGGCACCGTATGCAAGACCTGGAGAAGATGCTGCTTTACAGGCGAAGGTGAGTGTGTGACAGCCTAGCAAGTGACAAATGTAGTGAGGCACCATTTTTCTTAAATGCCAGAATTATATGCCGGTCGTGTATATTTACTTGTAAGTAAGCCCTATTGGGCCCATTGGGGCATCTCCCCTTGTACAGCCTTCTTCAACCTGAGGCCTTGCAGATGTTTTGAACGATTGTTCTTATCAGCATCAGCCAGCAGTGGGTCTAAAACATCAAAGGGGCATGAGGTTGGAAAAAGCTACCTTAGTTCGTGTGCTTAGGAGAGCTGAAACTGAAATGCAGTGCATCTCACCATACTTCAGACCACTGCAACCTGGTGACCTGTGTCCCTGCCTGTCCATTCTGCTGTCCAGGTGCTGTTGACAGGCAACTTCAAGGTCCAGCTCTTCCTTCTGATTGGACTGGATAACCCTTCAAATCAAGTTCTCTGTAAATGAGGACACATGGCCACCCTAGGACCACATAACTAAAGTTGCATTACTAAGGATATTAACTTCCAAGTAAGCCTCTCTGAAATCAGTGAGATCTACTTTTAAGTAAACAAGTTTGAGATAGTAATTCTTCAGTCATCCTCGACATTTAGGGCTCAGTCCAGTGGAGGTGCCCATAAACCTCAACATTTGGCTGATTACAGGCATTCTGTGCAGGGTGGGAGAAGCACAGAGACAGTCTTCACCTTCTTGCTCCTCCTGTTCTGCAGATCAGCTAGATGGCCATATTTGGATGGGTACAGAGGACAGAGCACTCCTGTCTTATGTCTCACAAAGTACCTCTTTCCCTTTCTCCAAGGTCACTTTTGAGGAGAAACAGCTGGCCCAGTGCCTTCTGCACTGGCTGCAAGGGCAGGGGGAGGTGATGAAAGTACAGGTTGCCAGCTTCAAGATCAGACATCTGTTTCTGACCTCACGTCAGGGAACTGGAAGTATTCTATAGTCCCTTGTATGCTGTATGTGGGGCCATAGGTTACTCTAAATTATATCAAACAAGAATAAATGTAACATAGAAATGAGATTCTAATCTTTTAGGACTTTCTGCTCAACATGACTTCATTTATTAATACCCCAAGAGTTTCAGAACAAAATTTTTGTATTTACAATTTAATACTAGGTTTGATGTGCAAACAGATGTGTCAGTTGTATAAATGGCAAACAACTAATATATGTCCATTGTGTGTCCATTTTGCCTTTAAAGAATTGCTAAACTACTTTTAGTGCTGCTGAAGATGGTCTGGCTTTATAGAGCCTGTTCCACTAGCAGAATTTTATATTTTCTGCCTGGGGGAGCAGAGCCTTTGGTCTCACATGTCATCCACAACAGATTGTCCTGTGCTACATAGAAAACTGCTTCTGAAACTGATGGAACTCTCAAAACCAGTTTATGATTTATTTTGGGCTATTCAGAGAAGAGGGTAGAGTCAAAAATCCTGTTACATGTTTCCTAAACTGTACTTTGACATATTTAAAAGAGGTTTTTTGGACTCTGGCCTGTGACTTTTTAACTTTATAGATTATAGGTTTCTGTGCAGCTCACTATTCAAACTAATTCCTGTTTTTACAATAACAATTTTGAGTTGGGTGTTAAAACTGATTAACCATATGCTCTAATCCTAGTATCAAAATGTTGTTATATAAACTCAGTTTCAATTGATGAGTTTATATCTAATCATGCATATTTTTTCTACAAATAAAATTTAAATCTTCCCAACAGAGAAACACTTTCCAGGCTGTTTTAGCATATTCTGATTCCAGTTCCTATGCAATTTTCCTTTATCCGGAAGATGGTTTACAGTTCTATAGTACACATTCAAAAATTGACAATGAAGTTGTCCCAGCTATTGTTGGCTTTAGTCAGCCTGCTACAAATTACTACTTATGGGTAAAAGCTGGATCCTACAGTATAATTGCTAATGATGAAGAGATCCTTCGGAATCTGCATCGGTAAGATTTTTTAATATTTTTTCCAAAATCTGCTAATACTGTCCATTAACACACACAGATGTTAGTTCCCTTCTAAATTACATGAAATGCTGTTGATCTTCAGAAAACTGAAAAATAATTTGGTTATTAATGTCTAACATCCTGCTTTATATTTTGAAAGTACGCAGAAATTTTAAAGATTTTTCTTTCCCTCTTTCTGCTACTGATGAAGGATCATCAGTGTGCGTGACATTTTACAGACCTTAAATAAAGAGTCCATTTCTAAAGGCCATCTAAAATTCAACCACATAAATGGGCAACAAAGACAGAAGGGGTGTTGGAGAAAAAGCCACTGAAGCATTAACATTTGTTCATGAGACTATGAAAAAGTGAACTACTCATACATTAAGGCCCACTTGGAGTGTTACTAAGGTGGCCTAAAAGCTGCTGATAACTGGTACCAAGTAGGTTCTATTTCACTGAATAGCTACTTCAGTTTTTAGTGGTAGAGAAGTTAGTTAACTTCTTAACATATAAAATTTACCATGACTAATATGATTGTTTTAATCTAGTTAGAGATTTCTTGCCTTCTAGGAGCAGCAACTTGGGAAAACAAGGAGTCTGGGCATTCGAGATTGGTGGTTCAGATAATATCCTGTCAGCCAAAGTCACTCAGACTCCTGCCAATACAGAATATGGAGACTATGACCAATTCCAGGAAGTAACTACAGACCCCTCCTTATCACATCAAGATTCCATTGAGAAAACCCAGACAGGAGTATCTTACGATATTTCTAGCAGAGGAGATAGCTTACATACTAGCTATGAGTTACCTCAGTCAGCAGCAGACCGTTTTGAGTCTCCATACCAAGCTTTAACAGAACGTTCTCCAGCTGAACCTCCACTTCCAACAGGGAAAAGTCCACCTCTCCGTTTTCCAGGCCAGCAATTTCCCCAGCAGCGCACTCAGATTATTGATGTGGAAGAAGTTGATGACACTGGAGTTGGTAAGATCCTTTGGGTTTGGAAAGGTTATGTCAGGAACCATAGAATGAGTAATAAGATGGTCTAATCCAACAACCTATTTTATCACATGTATTCACAGGCCTGATTCACAAATACTGAGAAACCACTATGGACACTTTTAGTTGGGGAGAGAGCCACCATTTTGAATAGCTGGGTGTGGTTTGCAGCAGGAGGAAAGGCAGAATATACATGTCATGTCATGTAATAATAAGAGTAATGACTTCGTAATTATGCTGATCCATCCAGCATGCACTCAAACTACATAGAAAGGAAAAATAAGACACCAAAGCTTATTTCCCCAACTATGGTTGTGCTAACTGGAAAACTGCATTTGAAGGATACTCTATTATCACAAAATAGGAAGTTGCAAACTAATGACCAGAAACCTGAGCAAAGGTCTACTGTGTGTTTGCTCTTCTTTTAAAATTTTAGTGGTCCCTGCAGGGGCATATTATTAACATCTGGCTGATATGTTGTGAATACTTTTTGGGATACTGTGTCTAGCAGCTCTCAGTTGTGCATGGATTAAAAGACCTCCCAGTCTCCTTCCATGTGAGGTGCCTTCTCCTGCAACTGCATGGATCTGATCAGAAATTAGTACCGCTGTGTAATTGTTCTTTCATGGTGATGGTTGTCCTCGCAATGTACTTGAAAAAATAATCCATTTAGTAAATAATTCCTTGTTTCTTAAGGTAAGTGCCTTGAGAAACAGTGCTCAATGCTGAATGCTAGTGCGTTTATAATCCAAACTGGCATTATCCATACACAACAGGGAGGTATCAGCAGGCTTAGGGAAATGCCAAGAGTTGCAGGAGTACAAAAACAACCTGGCAATGAATGAGGTATGGAATGCTGACTGAGGGAGAACGAAAACTGTGTAGGGATGGGAATGGAATAGGGTTGCCTGAAAAACAAAACAAATGCTGGCTTATGGTAACAATGAACCAGAGGCAATATTTTTGTTACACGTTCCACTTGTCGTTTCATAATGTCTGTGCAGTATGCTCAAGGAAGCATGTTCAATTTAACCCAGGCTAAAAAATGGATGTCATCAGTGGATGGGTTTGGGCAGCACGATAAACCATACTCAAGGACTGAGTATAAGTTGAGTGCTGGTTTATTTATTTAAAACATTTTTATGCCTCCCCCATCGCAACAAAGTCTCGGGACGGCTCACAATGACAATTTGGTTGTCATTGAACCATAGTTTACTATTGGATTATGAATTGTGGGTTGTCTGTGGTAAATGAGTTGGGGTTCAAACAAGAGGATAAGCCATGTTTCAACAGCTTATACCTAGGTTATGTGAGGGGTCCATCTTGGGGATGGGAATCCATTAGATTCCTTGGGTTTGGTGCAGTATTAATGCAGGGGATCACAGTCTTACAATAAGAATGGTATCTTCTGTCATCTAGTTCTGCTTACATTGTCTTGCTGACTCTCTGCTTCTTAAATGCCAGACAAAAGAATTGGGGAAATAAAATGTATCATGAGTTCCTTAGGATGCCTTGTGGTTGGGAAAGAGGCAGTATGTTTGGCCTTCCACTGAAATGCATTATTCTGAGAAGTTTTATTTTTTCCTGTCTGCAGTGTTTTTTTATAATACGGACATCCAGCAAAGCTGTGCAAACAACCGCCATCAGTGTTCCATTCATGCTGTTTGCAAGGACTATCCAAATGGCTTTTGTTGCAGTTGTGTTGCTGGCTACAAAGGAAATGGCAAGCAATGTGTAGCAGAAGGTAACTGCTTCAAAACTTGGCACGCTACCATACAGCACATCATATTTCTGAAGCAGCCTTTTTTGTTGAATGCAAGTATTACTGTACTGGAGCAGATGAGGAATTACGGAAGCCTAATATAAGATCTTCAGTGAAATTCAGTCCAGGGTGCATGAGCGAACACCCTTTCGTGATCAAGAGAACTGCTGCCACCTTCCATTCTTTTTAAAATTAAGGGGAAATATAAAACACTTGATTAAGCAAATTGAGATAGGAATGAAGTATATTTCAATGTCTCACTGAAGGTAGTCAAGGAATTAACTGGTTAACCAAGCACCTTTATACTAGAATACTGAAGTTGTAGGATTTGTTAAATCATTATAAGAAACTAGATGACAAGATATTGCTCTAATCAAATAATAAGTTTATGTAGTTAGTTAATAGTTTAATATCTTTGATCTTTAGAAGCAGGATAGTATACCTAATAGTTCAAAATGGGAGGGTAAATGAAATTACAACTGATTTAAACTAAGTAATTAAATTTTGGGTAAAATTCTGTTAATTTCACTACTTACTGAATATTTAATGTGGCTAAATAGGGGGAAAGTTTTTGTTGGAGTTTTATAAAGTAAAAGGCAGTATTATAAGAGACCCATTACAAACCAAAAAATGAGGAAGAATGATTACAGCTTCTGGTAGCTCCAAGCATATAAAGATGGACAGTGGTTTACAAATGGAGATGAATGATAAAATGTTGGAAATAGAAGATACATTCTACATAAATAAGATTCTGAGCTCTCAAGTATATATTCATATTTCTAATAGAAAGAGAAAGTGCTGTTTTTTAGTAAACTAGATGGTGTTCTCATCAACTTACAGTGTAGTTCTTTACATGTCACTCAGCAGTTAGCTTCACTGAGTTCAGTGGGATTTACTCCTGCATACAATTTTACAGCCTTAGTTGAAGGTGACATCATTTTGGACAATGTGTGATTTATTCATATGAATGATTCTATAACAGTAAAAGAAAAAGTGCATCTGTCAGCTTGAAGACCATGAAACCTAGACTCCAGAAACTTGCCATACACTAAGAATATTCTAGGGGTGATAATCTCAGACATAATTTGTTTTTAAAAGCATTAATTTTAATTAATAAAATTTTATCACTGGATATCACCCTTAAGTTAACTTGCACTTGAATCAGAGTTAAGTAGTTATATGGCTTCCCCTTCTTCTGTAGGAGCTATATTGGTGACCAGCAGAAACCTTGCTTAAAGCTCTTGGGTTCATTTGGATAGAGCAGGAACAATGGGTCAAGCTCTGATGTCTGCATAACTTTCCTTGAAGGCTTCTGTGTATTGAATTAAGGCCAATTTCAGGCTGTGCAAACCCAGGTCCATTCACTAATATTTAAATAACAATAGAATTCAACAAAGGGTGGGCTTCCCTTTGCTTGCTGCAGCTGCCATAGCTTTGCTCTCAAGGGCCTTCTCTGTAGCAGATGTTAAGGGCATGTAGAAGGCTGCAGAAGAGACAGAGAATGTGTCCTTTCCCAGTTCCCCAGTTATTTTCTCTATGTTCTACTCATGTTTTATAAATATATACATAGAATACAGAGAGAGAAAATAGTGCTGCACTTCTGCATGGACCAAGGCAAAAGACTATATTAAAAAGATGAGTTCTTTGAGTTAGATAGATCTCCTGGTATAATATTTTTGCTCTTGGTTTTTAAGAACAAGAAGTTCAATTCAACATTCTGAAGGTGCTGAATCATTTAATATAAAAAAAGTTTGTTAAAAGTTAGGAACACAGCTGGGACGTGTTAAGTAACAGTGCCAAAAGTATTAATATTTATTCCGCCACAGCAAAAGCAACTAAAGGATCTGTGTAGCATAAATTATCTCTAGCTGTAGAAACCATTTCAAATTATGCAAGATGAAATACCCCCTACTGTATTTGTTATGCATAGAACTGGGTTTGCTATTATTCTGATTGAAAACGTATTTGTCATAATTAGGAAAAAGAATAGGTATGGGAATGAAAATTTGCAAGGGGTGAAAAGTATGCAGCTCTTGTGTGCTTCCTTTTGCTATCTTTCAGGTAATGCTTGTTAAAATATTATCTTTTCTTTCCTTTGGACTTCTTTATATATCTTCCCTGCAAAGAAAACAATTTGAATTTGTTTCAAGTAGTTTGGACTACTGAGCAAGGGATTTGCCATATTTATTAATAAGTTTCAATTTCCAACAATGAGGTGCCTTATTTATGTATTTATAGGTTAAGAGTCCCTTGCTTTGATATGTATGGTATCCACTAATAATGGCTGGTGATCCCTAGCTGTCATTCATTTTGCCAGAAACACAAACTAACATGCATAGATAATATAGAAGGAACCTAGGAACCAAGGGTGTTCTTTCTTCAAAATTCCACAATTACAATCCTGGCTGACTAGCATATAATGTCTCTAGCAAAATGCCCTTTCTTATTTGTATACCTAAAATCATTTTTTCTTGTCTTCTAGCTTTGCCTTGGAACTAATCAACTGGTAATCACTTCTGCAAAATAGAGCTATAGTGAGCCATTAAAAGATTAGTTTCTGCCTACTTTCACCTTACAGAGAAGACAGATATTAAAAGGAAGAGATCTAGTTTCTGCTTTCCCTTCTAGAGTTTGAACTAGGCTAATGTCCTTTTTCCTGGTTTGCAGATCAAATCTGCTTCCCAGTTTAAATGTTATGTCAAGCTAGTTTTAATAAACCAAGAAGCCCTGGTATTAAGCCAGGTGGGTCGAGTGTAAATGTAGTTCAGTGTAAAGAAGTGTAAAGTGATGTATGTTGCAACAGAAATCCCAGCTTTATGTTTATACTGATGGAATCTGAGCTAGCGGTGATTAAGAAAGAGATCTTGGTGTTCTGGTAGACAGCTCAATGAAAATGTCAGCCCAGTAATGCAGCAGCTGTGAAGAAAGGCCACTTCCATAGAAGGCATGATTTGGAAAGGAACTGAAAATAAAATTGCCAAGATCATATTCCTCTTACCCAAATCTTTGGTGTAATCACATTTGGAATATTGCTTAGAATTCTGATCACCACACCTAAAAAGGATATTGTTTCGTTGGAAAAAGTACTGCAAAGAACAACTAAAATGATCAAGGGGCTGGAACAACTTCCATATAACAAAGGGTTAAGATGTCTGGGACTGTTTAGCTTAGAGAAAAGGTGAGTGAGGGGAGATACAATAGAGGTGTACAAAATTATGATTACTATGGAGAAAATGAGCAGAGAGACCTTTTTCTCCTTCTCATAATGTGAGACTCCACTAAGGTCATCCTGTGAAACTGATTGATAGAAGATTCAGGACAGACAAAATGAAGTACTGCTTCGTACAGCACATGGAATTCATTTCCATCAGTTTCGATGGTTTTAAAGGGAACTAGGTATAATCGTGGATAATAAGGCGGTTGGGGTCTCTCTTGGTCCTGATGGTTCTGTGCTACTTGCAATCGTGGAAGCAGTATTTTTAGGTATAGCAGTGGCTGGGGAACATGGGTGAGAGAATGTGAGTGTGCCCTGCTTGTGTTTTCCCAAGGAGAGCTGATTGGCCACCATGTGGACAGAATGCTGGGCTATATGGACCTGCTGTAATCCAGCATGGCTCTTCTTCCATTCTTGTATTCAGGAGTGGAGGGCAAGGGGGAGCGTGCACACATGTCCCATCCTTGATCCAAATGAAGCAAGAATGTTGAACTTGAAAAGGGAGGGGAGAAATTGGTGCACAAGGGAAGGGTGCTTGCAGGGAAGATGAGCAGCACACACCATCCATTAGACCTAGTTTTTACATTGGATAAAACAGTGGCAAGTGTTTGATTATCCTTCCCTGTGTCAGACGTTTACATCCTTGGCAGACAGTAGGTAGATTAGGTAAGCTGAAGTAGATCAGCAAGTCAGTAGATTCTGACTTCCAGTAACAATGGCTGGATTTCAGTTAATTGCTTCCGTTAATTCATTGTTCCTTCCCCGTAAAGTAAATGTGTTTGGCTGCCTTTTTTTTTTTTTTAACACAGTTCTGCTAGTTACTTTCAGAGCTGTGGTAGAATCACTGGTTTATAATAACTCAGGTCTCTCAGTCTATACCTCCTGGGTTACAGTAAATAATGGGTGCTATTCTTTTAGCCAGTATTTTGTGCCTGGCTCCTCCCATGCCACTCGGGTACAGCTGGCAAACATGGGGTTCTAATAAAAAGCAAAGTGCACCCCACGGCTTGAAGTCTGGTTTACATTACTGGGGACATGTGATAACTTTTGTATGCAACATGCACATCAAGGTTGTGATGCAGTTAACGTTTTCTTGTGCGTTGTGAGCCTCAGTGCTTTGAAAATGTAAGTTAATCTGTGGTACAATGATGCTTCGTTATGTTAAAAGAAATTGCTGTGTTCAACTTTTGTTGTGTTAGGTTCTCCTCAGCGAGTTAATGGGAAAGTCAAAGGACGGATCTTTGTTGGAAACAACCCAGAGCCAATTGTGTTTGAGAACACTGACCTCCATTCATATGTGGTGATGAACCATGGGCGTGCGTATACTGCTATCAGCACAATTCCAGAAAAGTTGGGTTTCTCCTTACTTCCTCTTGCTTCCATCGGTGGTATCATTGGATGGATGTTTGCTGTGGAACAGCAAGGGTATAAAAACGGATTCAGTGCTACTGGTAAGTTTCGCATTTGTTCTTGAAGAGTTGCTTCATATATTTGCAGTGAATTCTTCATTTGCAAGAGCACTGTAGTAAAACTTCTCAATGTTCCCAACAACCTTTGTTCCAGAGGACAGGCCTCAGAAATGAAATATCACGCTGCTGTTCCTTAATAGACTTTTTTTTTTACAGCATTACTACCATCTTTCTATTAATACCTTTGGGCTGGGGAGATTTGTCTTAGAGAACAAGAGAAAGCTGTGAACCTCCAGACACAGATACAAAATAGCATGTTGTCTGTGGGTGAGAGGAGAGTAAGGCCAATATTCATGGAGTGTTGTAGGTTGCTGGCTCCCACAACAGGAGTTCATTGGCAACTGAAGACACTAGTAACAAGAGAAGCTTTCCGCAGTTGTGCTATAACCTTAGTTCACATCAAGTTTGCTTTCCCCTGGTTAATAGATTAAGGGAAGTGTGGGTGTTGGATTATTCTATTACCTTCCCTTAGGAATGAAAGTAAGTGATTGAATTTCTTTGACTTTTTTGGTATTACATTAAAGCTAAAAATGATTAATACAGCACAAGCAAACAGGGAGGGTCAAATTTAGGCTATTCTCAAATTTCATTGTTTACCTTTTTTCCCTTTGAAACAGCAGTTCCCTACGGATTTTGATTTTTCAATGTTTTTCCCGTCCCAGATCACAAGGGGGAAGGTTATAGATTATCTCCTAGATTAAGGCTGCAATCCTATGTTGTTGACCCAAGACTACATTTCATTTATTTCCATGGTTTACTTCTTTACATACATTGGCTGACATTGTTAAAAAACATGATTAGGAATAACACTGTTTCCTTCCATGTATTTATAAGAATTAAAGTTGGGGAGAAGAGCTGATCTTGAAATCCATACTTTTTCCAGTGAACCAGAACTGTTTGCCAACCCACCAGAATATAAGAGGTTTCCTGGATTTCCCAGAGTGCCTGGCTCTGAGGAAAGCCCCTTCAGAACGAGGCATTTGGGTCTAGCCATGGTGGGATTGAAGAGCCATGTTGGGTAGTCTGATCAGCTGGGCAATAACAGTGTGATGGGGCAAGCACTGGGAGGGGGGTGGAGGGGGGGCAGCAACAGGGAGACATCTGCAGGCATGTACTGTCCTGGCTCAGATGGTGGGAGAGCTTGCACTGGCATCACATTGTTGCTACTCTGACCCATAGGGCAGAATACTTTAAAGATGTAGAAGCAAATGGATCAGGGTTGGCAATATATATTGCACCCCCCCACATTTGGTTCAGGACTCCACTGGAGTGGGGGGAAATCCACAGGGGCGTGTTCTGCATCCAGACATCCCCTCCTACTCACTCTGAAATGAAAAAGGGAAATGGACAAAGCCAATTGCTGCATCTTTAGCATAATTGTGCTTTTCAGAAGCCTTATGAGTTTCACCTCCTCTTAAAAATGAGTGTACACACCAGCATTTGTGTGCAAAGTTTAGCCACAATGAAGTGTACCCTCTGCACGCCCACTGTAATTTCACCCCGTTCTTGCAACTGACACATTCTGCCAGCACTTCAGGGCCCTGATTTGAGAGTATCTTTAGTGACGCTGAGCAGTACTGTTACAACAGGGAGGCAAATATTTCATTAAACATACAAGTAAGAAGTGATTCCATTACTCTTCTAGGTGGTGAGTTTACAAGACAAGCTGAAGTTACATTTCTCAACAGCAATGAAAAGGTGACAATTAAGCAGAAGTTCAGTGGAATTGATGAACATGGGCATCTGACAATCAACACAGAACTTGAGGGCAAAGTGCCTGAAATCCCATTTGGATCTTCTGTACATATAGAGCCCTACACAGAACTCTACCACTCTTCGAGTTCTGGTGAGTTAAGAATACTTGTGGAATCTTGGTCATTCTGTCTTCTCGTAACTTGCATTCCAAGCCTACAGCAAGAATGAGTGCTGTTTCCAATCTCCACAAAGCTAGAATGGGTGCTTTCTTGAGCCTAAGATCAGTACTGTACAAGTTGAAAATCCTCTTATTTCAATTGAATAAATTCCCATTAATCATATATACTGGATCTGCTGCTCTGCACTTGTATGACTGAACTGTGCTATAACCTCCATCACCCACATGGTGTGATCTGTGATTTTAGAGAGGAAACAGAAATTATCACAGTAATTTAGCCAGCCAGTTATCTCCTTATTAGCTATAAAACAAGAGATAAACTTTCCTTTAAATGTTGGTTCTTATCTATATTCCTTGCATTATGGGCAATTTATAGGACACTTGTAATAGGTACACTGATAACATGCTTTTGATATTCTATAGTGTCTGTAAATGTAAAATCTCACAGCCTAGGAGCTACGTCGCAAGAAAGTAGAAAGCCTCTATGCAGAGATTCTTTAGGACAGACAAGGCCACCATAAGAACTTGTCCTCAGATCACTCAGGATGAGAGTGGTAGATGAACACTTCAGCCCTCATGGCCATTCCATCAAGGGCTTCAAAATGGCTGCTCTCAAACAAAGTGATTTAGATATGCAGATACAGCTTAAAACAGCAGAAAAGACTGATTCAGATTTCTTCAGATCCAAAAACTTCAGATAAGAATGTGATGGGGAAATTGCAGCTGCTGGGGGCTTTGCTTTAATTTGTCATAGGGAAAAATATCCCAAAATAACATTTTGAGGCTATTATGAAACCTTGGGGTGGCTCCATGGTGGAGTTCCACTTGTGCTGAAGAACTCCTTCATGGGCTCTTGCAAAGCTGCTTTGAAGGAATGGCAGACTCTCTGGGACAACACGACAGGCAATGCAAATGGCTTTGGTGGCAAGGAGAATCCATGAAGAACACATTCTCTCCCCCTTCATCTGGTGTGAAGTCACAACTAGATCCTGGTACCTTTGAACAGAAGTAGTTTATCTATCCACAAAATGGCTAATATGGCTATAACGCAGCAATTGTAATTTTTGGGTGTTTGTCAGCAATATTTTATGGTCTTTTACATCTGAATACAAAGAATGATATGAAATCTACTCGTAGATTTTAGTTTCCTCTGTATTAATATGAGATTACTTCTTTCTTTCAGTTATCACATCTTCATCTACCAGGGAGTATACTGTGACAGAACCAGAAAGAGATGGGGTGTCTCCAACTTACACAGTTACCTACCAATGGCGACAGACAATCACATTTGAGGAGTGCATTCATGATGACTCTCACCATTCCATTTCAGCCACTCAGCAACTGTCAGTGGACAGCGTTTTTGTCTTGTATAATAAAGATGAACAGATTTTGCGATATGCCATGAGCAACTCAATTGGCCCAATTGGTATGTTCAGTGATAATTATGCTGTTTGACTTTTTTGATACTGATTTAGATCTTTTTGGGATCCTGTCTCTTCTACCCTTTGAATTTATATTTAAGTGCTGTCAAGTGGAAGATATTGTACACAAGAGATCCACTCATCTAGTCCAATATCATGCTTGCCACAGAGGCTAGCTAGATGCCTTTAGAAGGCCCTGAAGCAGAGTTTGGAGGCGGCTGCCCCATTCCTGTCTTTCTTCTCACCAACTAGTATTCTCTGCTTCTGAACATGGAGATTCCACGACAGAGCTGCCTTCCATGAATTTCACTAACCCTCTTCAAATGCATCAAAGTTGAGTGTCCATCAGCAGACATTGTGCCCGTTCCCATGATCAGACCGCCCGCTATGCCTTCAGCCATAGTGGGCTTTGGCGCATGCCAGGGACCGAAATTCAAATACAGGCAACTGTGACCTGACTAGTGTTTTCAACTTCAATTCAGTTTGGGTTTTGAACCCATTTGGTGGGCTTTTAAAGACTAATTATATTGTATAATTTCATTTAAATCTATAGATCTAGAGGTTGACTATGACCCAGGGGTTGACTATGGATGGTTGTTGGTACAGTATGGTTTAACTGATATTAATCCTGCATTATGGCTTAACTATGGGTTGTGAACATCATACTCAGCAACTTATAAAACAGCCATGTGTGGGTTGCTGAGTAAAAGAAGTGGTGGCCATTCTGCAGGCAACAAGTCCATGCTTTTCTACATGTTCCTGACAGTGTTACCTGCAAATTGGCCCATCCCATCTGAATGTTACTCTAAATCAGCCTGACAAAGGGTTTAATATTCCAAAAGGTGGCAGAATGTGCCCAGCACATGCTGTTCATTAATTGGTTAATGAAACCATGATTTGCCATAGTTATGTGCTAAGAAAATATCTTCCCAGTTGATAACATTATTGAATATCATCTCTACATACTCATTAGATGGTAAATCTACTAGGAACAGCTCCTCTGCAAATCCTATTCTAGAGGAACCCAGAAACCAACAAAACATTGCACAGGGTGGGAAGCTACAGCCATTATTCTGGGATATGGATATATAGTGAACTATTAAGTCATAGTTAACCCTTGTACATGGCTGAGGCCCAGAGTCCATTCAATCTCAGGCAAACATAGCTTTTAAACATTCATATTTTTGTTGAGCCAGCATAGCAGTAGTAGAGGTTGTCAACTTCTTACATGAATTCTCATGTTACTGTAGCTTCTTCTGTGGCTTCTTGACAGATGGTTCAGGTGACAGGAGCCGCAATCCTTGCTACACGGGTACCCATGGCTGTGACACTAATGCGGTATGTCGTCCAGGAACAGGTGATCAGTTCACCTGTGAATGCTCAGTGGGCTTCCGAGGGGATGGACATGCATGCTATGGTAAGAAAATATCCTTTTCATGAAAAAGGAATTGATTTCTGTAGGATCAGTTAGATATCCTGCAATCTAGGTGCATTCGCTTTAAGCTTTTGTGTTTTGAATATGTGGACTCATTATAACATACCTTGGCAGATCTTGCTAGGTGAGATGTTACTTTTCTCTTGTTATATACAGTGCCTAGGAGAAGTACTCACAAATGGCTGAGTACACCTGAGTCCTGGCTCAATAGAAATAGCAGCATGATCAGATTGTGCTATAACTGTTAGGCCTTTCTTGTAATAGTATCTCAACTTTACAGTAAAATTAAGGTCAAACTAGACATAACACAATCATGCAGTTTGTTTCTTGCATGCTTGTTGCTGTATTTACTTAATAGCAAATCCAAGACCAGATCTAGACTAGGTCTGCAGCACAGGGGGTAAAGGAACTTAACTATTTGCCCCATTATCATTCCAGTTTGGTTCATCTTTCTACCCCAACGTTTCTATTTGCCCTGCAGCCATAAGTAGATACAGAGTCAGAGAGAAGGGCTTCTAAGCCCTCCCCCTCCAGCCGTTTCCCTGTTCAAAATTGCACACCTGTGAGGGAAAAGCAGTCTGGGCATGCTTTTGAGCAGGAAAATGGGAAGTGGTTAAAGGATGAAGCAGCTCTACCTCTCTACCATTTCTCCATTACAGCTGGCAGTGTCCCGAGGCAGTATCTGGTTAAAAACAAAAATCCATGCACATGCAACTGTATGGACTCTGCTCATATCATGATGCTAAATTACTGTGCTGAGCACGTAGGAATCTGGCAGAATGTAAATTAACCAGTATCCTAATGTGGCAAAGCCAGGTACTGTGTTCTTCATCTGTTGCACTTTGATGCATCATTTGGCAGATACAGCAGTTACTGAACACCAGTCAGTGAAGCCACTTGGTCTTTAATAAAGCTAAAGCTGAGCCACATGTATATCAAGCTCCACATTTCAAGTATTATATTAGTGATGGCTGAGCAATAACCTTGCCTCCCATGCAGATATAGATGAATGTCTGGAGCAACCCACAGTATGCGGCAACAATGCTGCCTGTAATAACCAGCCAGGAACTTTTCGATGTGAGTGCCTAGAGGGATATCAGTTTGCAGCTGATGGACGAACATGTGTGGGTAAGTTTATTTTAAAATCTTCCCTTCATTGTTTTGAGTAAACTGAGGGCCGTTCAAGAAAGCAACCAGGTGTCAGTTTTATTTTTTCTGTTTTCGTGTTTTCAGGACAAGTAGAAGATGATACTTGAGTCTTTCATTTTAAAAAGTCACGCTTTCTAAAGACTTAAGAGGAGTGTTAATGTGCTCTTCCTTAATTTGGGAAGGAAATGTTTCTTTATAGAGGCCCTGCTTTTCCTTGCCAGAAAGGGAGTTGTCCAAAATATAAATACAAAAAAATATAACTAATCATTAAAACATCATAAGAAGCTGTAAGCAAACGCATAAAGGACAAAATAAACTTCAGCATCAGCAGAGCCAAGTGGTTGTGCTGATACGTAAACACTGTAAACCGATACAGCTGGACATAATAGTCCATATTTGAACCATGCATCTGTGAAATGGAGTTTTCAGACTTCACTTCTTCTAGAACTAGGTTTCTGTACATTTGAGGATCATTTTTGTACTTCTATTCTTAAAGAAGTTGTGCAAGCCTTAAGTAGCTACACTGTTTACTCCTATAAAATTGTTCTGCCTCTACAGTTTTAATTAGCGAGAGGAACTGAGGGAACAGGGGATGCTTGCAATTGCAGCTGATCTGAGAATAAACTTACTTAACATATGGAGATCATTGAAATTTATACTGAAACTGTGTAACAAAAGATGGGTTGCAGAAGTTTTACATATGCAGCTTTGCAGGATCTGCCAAGCAACTGAATTAAATATTTCCTTTCTTGCATTTTAGTTGTTTCAACATCTGTTTAGAGGAAACTTGAGCTCAAGACTACAGTCAGGCATTTCCTGAATTATTTTCTCTCTTCCTCTCTCAGCTTACCGTGGCTAAGCATACAAATGAACAGCCTAAGAGAGCAATCCTTTGGTACCTGGGAGAATGTCCTGGACAGTATAGGACTCTTCAGAGTCCTGCTCTTGAAGCAGGAGATACTTCTGTGATCATAGATGGGAGTCCCTGAGTTCTGGTTCCCTTGCCATGCTTCCTCTCTGCTACCACGGAAAAAGGGGGCTGGCTGCATTCTGACATTGCAGATGTGCCGGGGGGGGGGGGGATATTCCCATGAGCAGAACAGAGAGGAAAGGAAAGGAGAAGCCAAGCTAGGAGCCATCCTATGGCCTCTTCAGCCCCAGCCGAGCCCCTACTAATGTGCCGCCTCTAGATTGGCTCAAATGCCTGTCCAGTGGGAAAAATGTAGAAAGGAGGGTGGAGAGATGAAAATTGACTTCATCTCCTCTCAGCAGGATAATGGATCTCAGAAGCCTCTAAGATCAAAATCTTCTGTCTAATGATGAAGGTGCAGCCCATTGGATTGTCCCTTAATGGCCTCATCCTTTGCTTACTTAGCAGTCTTAGTGAGTTATGTAGGCGTTACATCCAAATAAGTTCACATAGGATTTTAGCTCAGGGTAGTTTTAAAAAGAAGATGAAGAAGATACAGCCTTTGTTTACTTTTAAAGTAACATTAAAATCAGTGTGCCAGACTGCATACCTGTGTTGCTGCCTCTAAGAGCAAGCGGGTCTCTGAGCACCAGACAGGAGACAGTGGCTGCCTGCTTGTGGAACTCTGTTCTAATTAATCCCTGCCAAGCCCTGTTACTGCATGCCATCAAGAGGGCTTGAAGGCTCACCAGTTTACCTTGGCCTTTAATTGAGGTAGGATTTATGGGGACTGTTATCTATATGGTGCAATCTGCTTTTGACTGTTTATTTTGGTTTTATTGTTATTGCTGTCACATTGTTTTATGGCCTAAGTCTAGTTGTCATTAGCTTTTGCCCTAAAAGGCAGCACATAAATCTTGACTGCAGAGATGTAGACATCTAGGAAGTGGAACAATTCCTCTTGTGATAGAAAGGTTCTGTCATACTGAGTTCTCAGAGGAAGTTGTGAAGGCTGGCAGATCCGCTGTTTTCTCTTCCGAGGAACCCTTGGCACACCCCAGGAATTCAGATTAAAGTGCAATCTTAATTCCTAGCAGAGGTCAGTTTGAATGTCTGCAACTCCCTCTCACTTTTCATTTTAAGACCATAAGGGAACAATCTTTTTTGAGGGGGATAGGTTAAGTTAGACTCCCAATTCTGAGATTGTTTGGGCAGCACTCTGGCCTCAGAGATGAGAAGCGGTGCACCAGTCCCTCTCCCCTGCCCTGGCTGCTCTGTGAGGTTAGGAAAGCTATGCAGGAGAGTGGTTCAAGGGTACATTTCAGGGGACACTGTATGAGCATGGGACTTCAAATTCAAAGGCTGGGCTCTTCTGGCTAGGCTGGCACCCCAAGCAGCTGCAGGTGCTGTGGCTTAATCACAAGCCCTTTTTTTGGCATTGTTTACCCCATGGGATATTTATACCCCACTTTTTCTTTTTGAAAGAACTCAAAGCAGTTTGCATCATTCTCCTGCTCTTAGTCTTATCCCCACAACAACCACCTTGTGAGGTAGGTTGGGCTGAGCATCTGTGACTGGCCCAAAGTCACCCAGTGAGCTCCATGGCTGAGCAGAGACTAGAGCACAGATGCCCTGAGTCCCAGACCCAACCACTACATCACCGTCTTGCCTGATGAAGAACTCTGAAACTTTGCACAATATTTTGTGATCGTTAAATTGCCCTAAGAAAGGTACTATGCTATTACAGTTTTCAGGATTTCTCTTTTGGTATTGGGCTTTCAGCATATCTTGAACCTTAAACAGCTGCCCTCTAAATGCCCTCAACCCCCGTAATATAATAATACAGAAATACAAGTTGTGGATTGTACATTCATTTTTGTTAAGTTTTGCGGTCATTTTAAACTGTGATGACTTTTCAGTTTGGCATTGTTCTCTATTTGTTTCTAACTTATCTGCCAACATTTTAGTGTCTGAGTTGCTGCTATAGTCTGTTGCCAAATTGCAATTCTGGGTCATCTGTGATTTAATTCTTAGTAAGGTAGTGAAACATTCCCTGTGCAGCCAACCAGCATATGCAGAGGCCTCCAGGGTTTTCTTCTCTCTGTAGTTGTTATCACTGTGCATTAGTAATTACATAACAAAAATTCAAGTTTTATTTGCCGATATGGTTGTTTTTCTTCTCAATCATATGGTGTGGATTAAATTCCCTGAATCTAAATATTACACACATCACTTTATATATAGTAAAAGGAAATGATCCACTTTTGGCCTACTTTCAACTAATGTGGCTTATAAGCCCTTTTTGCTCAGACTATGAGGTCAAGTAAATTCTTTTAGAGTGTCACGTCCATGTAAACTCAGATCAGAGCAGTTTTGGTTCCGATCGCTCTGCTGCTGTTATTTGTCATTCCATTTCATCACGCATAGCTAAAGGGGCAGTTTTGGAATATGTGGTGGAGTTTTCTCTGAGAAAGTTGCATGTTCCATACTTAAGTCACATAAGAACCTGCCTTAGCCCACTCTTGGCAATATGGATTTGACAGTAACTCTCCAGGGTTTGAAGCAGGAGTGTTATCAGACCTATTTGGAGATGCCAGTGATTGAACCTGAGGCCCTCTATGCCCAGTACGCATGCTCCACCACCGAGCTACAGTTCCTTCCAAGCGGAACTGGGTTCTTTGCACTCTTCCCCATTGATATGAAATATAAGTCAAAACTCTCCTGCAAAAGCATCCAGAATATTTCAAGTCCCAAAGGCTTTTCAGAAAATTCTGCGGAAATAGTTTGCTTAATTTGCCCCAACTCCAGAATGCATTTCATTGTTTACCTTACCATTGAAACAGAAATTATAAGGAAGGGAATGAAATATTGTTACTGGGCTAGTTGAAACAATGCAGATATGAGTGACCTGGTTGACACTTAGTGGTGTCAAGAAAGAAGTAAAGGAAGCTCAGAGGGATTTTAGAAGAAAAGGTGATTTAATTGGTAAGAAGGCAGAGCAGGTGAAAAGAATGGCTATGGAGAAGAATGTGCGCGCGCGAATATTTGAACAGGAGAAGAGAATGTGGGAAATGTAGATTTGCACCATGCAGAAGGAGTTGAATGGAGGAGAGTTCAGAGTGATTTTATTCCACTGATAAACTCATGTGGAATGTAGAAGAGCATGAAAATAAATAGGACAATCTGAAAGAAGGATTTATATTTGTGCTATAATGAAGTGACTGGAGGGGTATGAGGAAGAAAGGCTAGAAGTGAAGAGTTTACCTCTGTCCATGGGCAAAGCTTTTATCAGTAGATGGATCAAAGAAGGGCTAGACTCTCTTCTGGTATCAAAGAGAAAGAAACAGCTTTGATAGCAACAAAAACCCTGGATCTTTCCTTGATCCATCTGCTGATAAAAGCTTTGCCCATGGACAGAGGTAAACACCTTGTTGCAAGCCTTTCTTTCTCACGAAATGTTCTTTCCTGCATGTCTAGGAGGCAGAGAACTGCAACTTTGATCAGGGATCATCCTTTAGGTGCAAAGATGAGGGTTCCTGGATTTGCAACATTTAATGAGCTTGGTAGTGCAGAATGCAGATTAAATATCAACTTCACTAAATGGCCCTACCATTAAGCAGAGGGAGGGCTGGTTGTGGTACTCATTCCCTCACTTCTTACCACTTTCCCATCCTCTGAAGAAGAAGATCTAGTGATGAAATGCTTGTTAGTAGACTGGGCAGGCCAGATTTCTTTGCTAGTTTTGTTACTGGTTATTGCTTCATCTCTGACTTAAGGCAGCCCTATGAATGAAAACTTTCCAAAATCTCCTGTCCTTGACAGTCCTGATCAATTCCTGTAAATTCAATTCCTATAAAGGTGGTGTCTGTAGCTTCCTTTGTGGAATCAATCTCATTCTTGGTTGTCATCTTCTTTTGCCTTTCTTGTTCACTTTCTCTAGCATTATTCCTTCTCCAGCAAGTCTTGCCTTCTCATGATGTACCCAAAGTATGTCAACTTTAACCTCAGTTTTCTTATTTTTGCTTCCAGGGAAAGTTCTGGCTTGATTTGATCTGGGACTCACTTGTTTATCTTTCTGTCAAACCAGGGTATTCACAAAGCTCTCTTCCAGCACTATTTTTCAAATGCATCAATTTTCTTCCCGTCATTTCTTCACTGTCCAGCTTTCACACCCATACATAGTGTTTGGGAATACAGTAGTGTGGATGATCTTGGCTTTGGCCTTTTGCAAAACATCATTACTTTTGATTATCGTTTCTAGTTCCTTCATTGCTGCCCTTCCAAGTCTTCTTCTAATTTCTTAACTGCAGTCTTCATTTGAATTGATGATTGTGCACAGGAACGCAAAATCTTTCACAGTTTCAGTTTCTTCACTGTTGACCTTAAAGTTCTGTAATTCTTCTACAGTCATTTTCTTAATGTTCAGCTGCAGTCCTGCTTTTGCACTTCTTTCATTGTCATCAGGAGTCGTTTCACTTGAAACGCTTTCTGCCAGTGATATGGTATCATCTACATTATCTTAGATTGTATCTTGTATCTTCCACCAATTTTCACTGGTGCTCCCTCTGATCCTAATCCAGCTTTCCTTATAATATGTTCTAAGTACAGCTTGAACAGTAAGGGAAGTAAAATATAGCCTTGTTTGAAACCTTTGCCTATAGAAAACCATTCTGTTCCTCCATATTCTGTCCTAACAGTAGTTTCTTGTCCACCATTTCTCTAACATTTATTTGTATGCTGCCTTTCTACCAAGAAAACAGCACCAATAACCTTCATACCCGCAGTGTGCCACTGAAAAAGCCTCTGGCCTGGCTGAAAAAGAGGAAGCCAGCCAGGCCTCGCATGTGTGCATGTGTCGCTCCATTCTTGTGACATGTGCCATTGTGCTGCACAATTTGTGTGAGCAGGCAGTGAGCAGGCCCCAGACAGAATAGTGAGTGTGCAGTCAGGGTCTTGGAGAAGAAAAGAACAGAAACTCTGGGTCAATTTCTGGGGTAGAATACACTAAAAGATTAAGAAGAGGAAGGTAACAATGGGGAGGGGGCAGAAATGACAAAAGTGACTGGCAGCGTTGGAGGAAGAGTGCTTAGACAAGCAGAACCAGGTGGTAACTCTGACATCAGCCCCATGAGTGTGATGGTTAACCTGATAACACATTTGAAAAACAGGAAGGGAGTAAATGGAAGCTGCTGGTGACATTAGGATGGCTGGGAGTGCAGTGTAGCTAAGTAATGATACCGCTTGCCACATCTTGGGTGATTGTCCCTGCCACCCTCCTCATGCTCATGTTGTTTCCTCTGTCCAGAAATAGTAAACATGTCATCTTCCTTGTATGTGTGTTTCTGACTTGCAGCTATTGAACATGCAGTCAACCATTGTGCAGCAGGCACACACACATGTGACATCCCTCAGCGTGCCCGCTGCATATACTCTGGTGGCTCATCGTACATCTGTGCATGTCTGCCGGGCTTCTCTGGAGATGGGCATTCCTGCATGGGTGAGTAGCATCATTTGGTCCACATCCTAACCTCTCCTGACAGATCTTTGAGCAACTTGATGCTCTGATCCTTAATTATTTGTTTGGATTCCTCTTGCTATAAGAATTTTGAGTTGCCTATCTAAAACGTTGTAGGAGGAAACTGCCAAGGAAAGGCATTCCCCCACCACCATGTACATTCCTTTACATTTTATCTCTTCTCAGACTGGTATTTAAGAGTAAATGTCACCAGCATTTTGATGTAATATGGAAATGTTACTGATTAGAAATGTAATCTTGTGAATTTCCAGAAATGCCGAAATCAATCTTTCAGAAGTATAGAAGATGCACCTGCAATTGTCAGCATTCACATGTTTATATCAGCAGTTTATTTCTGTAAAACATTTATAAAGAACATTGAATTGCAAATATTCTAAAGGAATTATTACTGGAAACATTACTAATTACTAAACATTGACATTACTAGTGGGAACCTTATTTAGCAGGAAGGTCTTAATTGACTTTTGAGGCTGCATGAGTCGCATTTGATCCTATCTCCTGGGATGGATGGATGGATTACATGACTATACTGCTTGTAGACAACACTTTCTTGGTGGTTCACATTGTTTTAAAAACATAAAACATTATAAGATAACAATATAAAAGCTACCACTACAGTAGAAAATAAAAATAAATCCAAAATAAAACCTACCAGTAATGCCAATATTTAATTACAATAACCAATTTAAAACCACAGAAATGGAAAGTCTAAAATGCCTGGAAAATAAGCAGGTCTTCATCAGGCACCAAAAAGAGCACAATAAGGACGGCAGGCTCTTGAGACAGCTCATTCCACAGCCAGGGTACTACAACCAAAAGTGCCTTCTCCATACATCCATAATAGGTTTGAGTTTCCTGAACATTTGAGTGCCCAGACAATGGCAACCTACGCCAATGTGTGTCATCATAACTCATAGAAACATAGAAACAGAGCGAGTCAGAAGGGGTCTCCCGGGCCATCTAGTCTGACCTCTGGCACCAGCCGGCTCCGCTCACGACATGCCCACCATGTGCATGTCCAGCCTATCTTTGAACACCCTCACTGATGGGACCTCAGCAACCTCTCGTAGAAGCCCATTCCACACCCCCGGGGTCCTAACTGTCAGGAAGTGCTTCCTGGCGTCTAAATGGAACCTTGGTTCCAAGAAACGAAGGCACTCATCCACATTGGCTGGATGAAACACTTGTCTCATGGCTGCTAAAGAAAAGGAAAAGGCTGCAGAGGCTGCCTCCTTTATTTTTTACTTCCAAAAAAGTGATGTATCTTGCTATAAAAGGTTACTCTGATTTTTTTTTTCCATTTACAGATATAGATGAATGCCGCCTGGACCACTGTCATTCTGATGCTTTCTGCTTTAACACACCAGGGTCCTTCATCTGTCAGTGTAAGGCAGGTTATCAGGGGGATGGTTTCCAGTGTGTGCCAGGAGGTAAGTTTTTCCCCCCAGATTACTTCTTAATAATTCTTACAAATGTTCACTGCTGGTACACAGCTTAAGGTGAATTCCTTATAAAGCATGGATGGGCAACTGTACTCCCAGCTCTACTCCCAGGGGCACCAAAGAAAATTGCTACTGCGGTGGAGTGTTGAAAGGGACAAATTTAGCTTCTGAACCAGCTGATTATGATCCATGTAGCTGTTTGCAATGGTTATTCTCCCACTGCCCCCCGTGTGTATGTGTGACTGTGTATTTAAGCGTATCTGCTTATGGAAGAAAGAGTGGAAATTGCGGTGCGGGGGGGGGGGCAGATTTTCCATGGTACATTTTCTCTCTTTGGCTGTGTCTCTTCCCCAGTCTATTGACACTAATGACAGGGGAGTTAAATAGTCAACCTTTGCAGCAGAGGGGCAAGGGCATGTGAGAGAGAAGGGAGACATTTGGATTTATTTTTGTATGCTTTGTGCAATGCATATTTAATAACTGGCTCTCAAAAAAAGCACGTCATTACTGAAAAATACCTCATTAAGGGATAAAACTTGGAATTTGTTTCAGCAACAGGAACAGCTGTTGTGTTTTGCTTATACTTTAGTTTTGGCTGCCGTGGTACAAGCCATTGCCACTACTATGGAAAACATAGCAAGTAATTTAGTCAATTCAAATAGTCTAAACACTGGTCTAATAGTCTAATCTCTAAATTGAAATTCAACTCCCCAGAGAGCATTGACTGTGGGGGTGGTATAGAAATGCAATCAATCAATCAATCTTTGATTCTGCAAATGCCACATTGTTTTTACACAGTGAATCTGTTTCCTGAAGCAGCTGCAGAAAATTCCTGGAATTCTGCATATATTCAGCACATAGCTTGTTAGTTACTGATGTAAGCAGTGGCATTCCAGCAGCTCTTAAGGAAGCCTGCACTTCATAACTCCCTCATGCTCTATTGCTGCTGTTCAGAAAGAAGCAGATGTGCAAACCTCATCACCCCTCCATCTCTCATAGGGTGTGTTTACCAAACAGAAGCAAAACCAGACGCTCTCTGGCTAGGTGACTATGAGCACTCAAGACCTTTGCCACCATTATTAGTAAGTGCAGTCCAGTTCCTGTGAGAAATGCATGGGTGGCAAAAGCCTGCGGTGTACTTAATGATGGAAGCAGAACCAAATAGACTACAAACACGACATCCTGGTAGTGATAGGTTAAATCTGCTATTGTTTGAAGAGGCCTAGGACAGTCACATAAAGGACATAGTTGACTTCCTTTTGTGCCCTTAACTGTCAGATCACAGAAAGAACTAGGCCGGGCCATGCTTGTGTGTATGCTGTGGCTTTAACAAATTCCATAGGGTGGTAATTTCAACATGTGAACAAGGCAATGATCTCCACAGCATAGCAAAATAATAGCAAGAGTAATAAGATCTTGTAATACCCTGGAGAAAGTTCTCTCTGCATGACAAACTAGTGCACAGAAATGGCTTGCCACGTGACAGTAGATGCAACATGGAACTGCTTAAAAGTGGCCTCTGTGTAGTGTCGATAACTTATCTCCCTCCTTTAAAGCATTTGCTACAACCCTACACAAATGCAATATAGCTTGCCTAAACAGTAAGATTACTATTTATTCTTTGTGGTCTCTATGCATCACACATATGGGCCCAGCATGCATGTGTGGAGCTGTTTAGGGAAGATTCCAGAGCTGATTAATTTTTTTTTGTGGGTGCCTGGCCTTAGGCATGCCCAGTGTGTGGGGAAGGGCTCCCACCAGAATCTCAGTTCTTCTTCAACTGCTGCTGGGAGTGTATCGGGAAGTTCCTTTTCTGCTACTTATCTCGCAAATATTGCCTCTTCGACCCTTCTCAGACTTTCTGTCATCTCCGGGTTTCCTCCACTTTGTTTTTCTTCTTTTCTTCTCAGTAAAAATAAGAAGGGGGGGAGAAAATACATTATTCCTATTTTTCTTGCTTTCCCCCCACCTTTTTACTGGCTCTTTCTACCTTCGCCCACTCAGCTAAATAGCACTTAAATAGCCTAGCTGCATGGACTGTAGAGGTAAGCTACTGCCTATTGATGGACACCCCCTGTGTCTTTTTTGCCTGGCAGAAGCTCATGTTGTTGAGACCTGCTACCACTGCCAGGCATTTACCAAACAGGCAAGAAAATGTCAGGCAGACCACCAAAGAGCTGAGCTTTGGAGCCATACCTTACATGTGGGCAGTGCCCAACCATCCACCTGGGGAGCGTCTACTTCTGCTAACCCACACAAACATCCAGATGCTCTCCCAGAGAAGAAATGTAAACATGGGGAGCCTAAAAAAGCAGATAAGAAGAATAAGGCTCCAAAAACTCCCAGTTTTATGAAAGACCAAGAGGCCAGCAAACGTGCCAATAAATGCTCTGATATGCCTCCTCCTGCAGGCCTCCCTTCTACAAAAGACACACGGTGCTTGAACAAGAGTCATGCCAACCGTCCTCCCTGGTACTGAGACTGGTGCAGGAACCCCAGGCTCAGCCCCCACCTCCTGCACAGTGTGCTTCGTTTTCTGAGGAAGAAATCTGTGGCCCGTCTCCCATAGTACTACTGCAGACAGAGCCCATCTCACAACAGAGACATGACTCCTCTGCATCTTCAATTTTGAGCATTCTTCTCTGTGCTGAACCGAGTAGACGCTGCTACTGAGATCTCAGTCCCCAATCTCTGATGAGAACCACAGACCTAAGCAGCCAACTCCTGCTGCAATTTCAAGGCAGATTACTATAGAGAGCACTGCGGATCCTACATGTGCTTCTTCTGTTTTCAACTGGGGGATGAGGTTTTCCAATTCATGTCCTGCTGTTTGGCCTAGCAACAGCTCCCTGTGCATTCACAAAATGCATGGGTGTTGTTTGCACCCACCTCCACCTCAGTGGGGTCCACATATACCCCTATCTGGACAACTAGCTCATTGTCACTCTATCCAGAGAAACCTCTATACAAGCTACCAATTCCATGTGTGCCCTGCTTAATAAGTTTAGCCTCTACATCAATACAGCTAAATCTTGTCTTTCTTCCACATAGTTGATCCATTTCACTGGAGCACGCCTCGACTCTGCCTCAGCAACAGCCTCCCTATCACCAGACAGGCTGTCTGCCCTCAGCAATAACATTCTCTGTTTAATCAACAGAGGCTCCCCCATCACTACCATCATCCAGGGTGTCTTCAGCCTTATGGCCTCATTGATAATGGTTGTCCCATTGGCTCAGTTGCTCATGAGACTTCCCCAGCTCTGGGGATAGTGTCATTCGACACTAGAACCAAACCTCATTCTACCACATTTTGATTCCCCTTTGGATTTGTACTTCCCTTCATTGGTGGACTGACAAAGCCAACATCTCTGTCAGAGTCCCTTTCTCCCCATGGGAATTGCAACTGACTATAATCACAGATGCCTCCCTCTTTAGTGGGGAGCTCACTGCAGTTGTTCTACAGTCCAGGACAAATGGGGCCCACAAGAAGCGTCACATCACATAAACTTGTTGGAACTTCTAGCTGTAAGAAAAACCCAACTTGCTTTTCAAGCCGTTATCCAGAACTGACACATACGGATAATTACAGGCACAGTAGTTGCTTATATAACAAACAAAGGGGAACCAGTTCAGGCCCCCTTGCTCTTGCACTGAAATTTGGCACAGGTGCATCAGTTGATGCACCACGCTCTCTGCAATCCACATAGCCGGTACCAACAAGGTCCCAGCCAACACGCTCAGCATGACCTTCTCACAGTGTCATGAGGGGGTACTTCACTCTGTGATGCAATCCCTGTAGGACCAATGGGGCACTCCCAGATAGACCTGTTTGCCACACAGGACAACACTGCTTGCAGCCGCTTCTGTTGCAGAACCAGCATCAGCACCAAATTAATGGGAGATGCCTTCCTTCTACAGTGGAACAGGAACCTGTTCTATCTCTTTCCCTCATTTACTCTGATTCCAAAAGTTCTAGCTAAGATCTGTCAAGATAGTATGGACTCCATTCTCCTAACATCCTAGTGGCCCAGACAGCACTGGTTTCCCCACCTCCTTGACCTCTACAACAAAATCTTTATTTGCAACCCGCTCTGACCCAATCTCATCTCCTGAGATTGAGGGATAGTCTTCCATCCTAATATGAACATCCTGAGATTCACTGCATGGAGAATCTGGCCATGTCCTTCTACCTGAACTGCAACACATCCTTGATGCATCTCTCAAGCCTTCCACGCATATATCCTATGACTCTACCTGGTCAGCCTTCTCTACCTTCACTTTGGATCATGGTTTTCTCCTGACACAGCTTCTCCTATATAAATCCTACTGTTTCTTAATTCTTGTACAAAAAAAGACTCAAAACTGCTTCTATTCATGTTTATGCAGCTGCCAGTTCTGCATTCCACACTCCAGTTCAGGCCGCTCAGTCTTTTCACATCCTCTCATTTGGAAGTTCCTCAAAGCCCTCCTTAACCTGCCCCCCATTCAGACAACCCACTCCTTCCTGGAGCCTCTCCATTGTTCTCCATGCTCTCACTGAGAAACCATTTTAACCTATGGCTTCTACAGACCTCCAACTTGTCTCATGGAAAATTGCCTTTTTAATGGCCGTTACCTCTGCCCACCAGGCCAGTGAACTCACTGCTCTTCACATTGATCCTCCCTATCTCATCTTTCATAAAGACAAATTTATACTCCTCCCTGATCCCAGAAGTGATGTCTCGGTAGGAGCCCCTCTCTGCATGCTGAACATGCTTAGGGGCCAGGCACCCACCAAATAATGAATCCGCTTTGGAATCTCCCTAAAATGGCTCCATGCGTGCATGCAGAGCCCATATGTGTGAATGCCCAGATGACCACTTGGAGAATGACAATTGCAAGTAACCAACCTGCCTTTCTTCCATAGACTTATACAATTTTGGTTTCTGGCAGCCTTTCAATGAGTATGGGATATTTAAGAAGGATGGTGGAAGTTTGCCAATTCACAAAGCCTGCAATAACCTAAGAGGCTGCATTAGTAGATATAGCATAACATAGGAGCTCTTGCTACAGCTCTGAACTGTTGTGACTCCTGGATCCTGTGAGTCAGCTTACAGAGGTTCTCAGGCTACTCCAGCACGTATTCTTATCACACATGATGTCACTGTTCCTCTCTCAGCCTCATTTTGGCTAAACCACAAATGTCAGATATCTTTGAAAGTGCAGAAGCTTTAAGAAAGAAGAGATAGAATGTATGCTGTGCTTGTGTGGGATGGCCGCCCATTTAGAATTACATGTTAGAATATATGTTTCTTGCAAAAGTGGGGGGCAGGTGTAGCTGGGTTTCCACTTGTCTATTATCCAAAATACCATGCTATATAATGTTTCTGCAGATGTACAGTGCTTTGCATGGGGTGAATGAAAGCACCCTTCCCACTACGCCCACACCCTAGCCCTTACAGGTAAGGGTTTATCTCCCCACACTCAGGTCATTTTATAATTATGGTCAGAAGTTTGACTGGTGAATCAACTCACCAGGTATTTTTGGGATACCTGTCTCAGTTCCAATCCATCTTGCAGAACACATGGAAAGTAAACTTGGCTAGTATATCTTGGTTAAAATTGCCGTGGTGGGATCATCTAAGTGAAATACCACACAAATGAAAGATACACTCACAACTCTTTTTTTCTTCTTCTTTTTTTGATACTGTTTTTTATTCACAGAATTAGAGAAGACAAAATGTCAGCAAGAACGAGAACAAATATTGGCTCTTAATTCAAGAGGACCCAGGCCACTTGGCCAGTTCATTCCTGAGTGTGATGTCTATGGGAATTATTTACCCACCCAGTGCCATGGAAGTACTGGATATTGCTGGTGTGTAGACAAAGATGGTAATGAGATTGATGGCACCAGAAGTGGCCCAGGAATCCAACCACCCTGTAAGTAGCTCTAATTTTTTCCTCATTTAGATTGATTCAGTACTGAATGATTCACAGTATATCTTGTACAGCCCTGTTCCACTATTTCATAGCAGGCGGATCTTGCATGTTACTAAATCATGTTCAAAATGTTGACATGATCAAGTACAACTGTAGCTATTATAGTTTGGTGAGAATTTTAGTGGGCTAGACACTTATTTACAAACCTGCTTGGTTAGTCATTTGGGTCCTAAAAGACAAGCAAAGGAAAGCAACCAGACTGTTTGCTTGGAGCCCATTCTTAAACACCAAGCCAAACAAAGAGGCTATTTACAAGTCCAAGCTATTGGCAGCAGTTTGTATATCACAGTGGTGCTATTCCTAAACTGAAGGGATATTTATACAATTAGCAGGAGTTGGAATAACCAGTGTTTTATTCCACTATTGAAATGTGAACTATGTAAGAACTATCAGCAAAGGGGATTTAGATAAAATGTGTTTTTCAGATCCTTTTTGGCCTGGCTTCCAAGCCAGTATTGGAGAACACTGCATTTGTCACCCCAGTCAAAGTCATTCAGGGGTTCAGAGGGCATTGCTATCAGTATGCAGGTGACACACTGTTCTGTTCTTTATCTTCAGAGCCAGATGAAGCTATGGAGGTGATGCACTGTGCCTGGGCACAGTGATGGGCTGGATGAGGGAAGCAAACTGAAGCTCCAGACAAAATGGAGGCCAGCTGATGGCTGAGCTGGGAGTTGCACAGGAAAGTGCATCCCTGATGGTTTTCCTGGATCTCAGTTGCCTTCAATATCATTAGCTATGAAGTTGATTCAGATTCTCCCAATAAAGGAGGGGTTGCAGGGTCATGTTGGCCAGCCCAGCACCACCACCCTTGGGTGCTCTGACCACATACCCACACAACCTGCCAGTTGTGTGAAGGGGCTATATTTGTAGGTTGCTGCTGTGCAATGATCAATCCTGTGCTTTTCCTGTAACATGCCATAAATAGAGATGCTGTAGGTAGAGTAGGCGGCATATAAATATTTTAAATACATAAATAAATAAATAAGCCTTATATGGAAGTGCCTTTGGAGAATGCACTTTCAACTGATGTGGCCACCAGATGTTGATTGGGGTGGGCCTCACAAGGAAGGGCAGTAGTTTAATGGAAAAGCACATTCTTTTCATGCAGAAGGTTCAGTTCCTGGCATCTTCAGGTACTTCTGGAAAAGACCCCTACCTGAAATGTGAGAAAGCCACTGCCGGTCAGTGTTGGCAATGTTGGACTTGGTGGACCAGTGGGCTGCCTCAGTATAGGGCAGTTTCCTTTTTATGTAATGTCATGATTGGTTTTCACTGCTTTCTAGGTCTGCGGACCCAAGTATTTCCCCCAGCATGCTTGGTGCTATTACTGGTTCTTTGCTTACTGACTTATAAATAAACAAAATAAGACCATTGGCAATGAGAGAAATAACATAAGGAACCTGGTAGTGTATATGAATGGTGTGAATGGAGAAACATTTTTTTCATGGTTCCATATCTTCAGGCAAAGATGTACAAGGCAATGAATAATTCTGTTTATCCTTTTTTCTATATATCCTTTAATGGCATGATTCAAGTAAAGTGAACACTTTTAAATCTCTCTAATTTCAGTGAATGAGGTGTGCAGTCCAAACTTATGTGTTTTTACCTGGGAAACTAGCCTCTGAGGTGAGAGGAGCTTGATCCCAAGTATGAATGCAACCTTAAGCATAGGGTTTACTCTTTTCCATTGAAATCTGCAGTACTTAAATGTCGGCTGGATTGTGTTGTATATTTTAAAGTAATCTTGCCCTGCAGGTGCAGTTTAGCTTTATTGTGCTTGGCTTCCCTGACTACATGTGTTCTCTGTCAATAAGGTTTGGGGACAGTTGCTCCGCCTGTTGTAGTTGGACCCTCCGTAAAACCAGATACAATTCCTCTGCCTCCAGGAACACACTTACTCATTGCTCAGAGTGGAAAGATTGACCATGTTCCTTTGGAAGGGAATGATATGAAGAAATCGGATGCAAAAGCTTTGCTATACGTGCCAGTAAGTATATCTTGAACATGATATGACTGTTTGCAATTTGAGAAACCAGAGGCTTTTAATCTGAACGGCTGCTATGAAAAAATACGTTTCCAATCTAGTATCAGAAGCAATTACACACCTAATTTTTAAACTTAATCCTAAACATTTTTGGTCCCTTAAGATGAAGGAAAAACAAGGAGCCTGAAAAATCTTGGGGTTATATTTTGATTCGTAATTTAAGGAAGGGAAAACACATGCTGAGGAAAATATGCTCCTATCACACAGCACTTTTCCAAGTTTCACTCCTGGGACAGTCTCTCAAAGCTCTTATAAACAAACTTGTACTGTACATAGAGCTAATTTTTATTCACTTGGCAAGTGAAAAGTTTCTATAAACTTTCCAGAGTTTTAACAATGTTTGGGAGGCCTTAATTTACATACTAATACTTGTTGTTGCTAGTCACGACGTCGTTCCGACCCATCACGACCCCATGGACAACATTCCTCCAGGCCTTCCTGTCCTCCACCTAGCTAACTATAAATCTTTATGCAGATTTTAAATATCCTGCACTAAGCTCCCCCTTTATCATCATCATCTTGATATTCTGTCTTCTCGCTTAGCATTTTATAACTTGCCTTGATAATTTTCTGTACTCTGGTCAGTTTCCTATTCTCTTCTATGTACTTCTTTTCTAGCTCCTTCTCTGTGTCTGGGCTCGGTGAACAAGTAAGTCATTTTCCCATACCCATCATCTGTTGCTGACCAATTAAGCATCTTGCTAAGTAATGGTTCTCTCATACTCTTTACCTTATCACACCTCTTGATTCTTAGTGGGATATCTTTTGGCTTTCCAAAAGATATCCCACTTTTTTTACTTATAGCAAGAAGAACATTCAACATAAGCTCTCATAGCACTGCAGTTTACAGGTTGTGGTTAACATTTGTGGGCACTTTTACCCCAAATTGCCATGGATGGTAGCCATGACAGTACAAGAGAGTAGCCAAAAGGTACAACAAAAACACAGTGGATTGGGATGTTGGCTGAATGTGTAAAGGTGTAACTCCCTGTAAAATTGGGGGCAGGGAGAGACCTCGAGGAAGTATGAGGATATCAGAAATCAAACTATTTTGTTTAACAGATTTGGGTTTTCCAAAAGCCTAATCTGTCAGTCACCACCTGTAGTGTAAATTCTGTGCTCATGAACACTTGAAGCTGTTCTTTATGCAGCGGAAGCAGTGTTCTTCTAATGCAGTGTTGTCTGCCCTGTTTGGCAGCAATTCTTTAAGACCGCAGCAGGAGTGTCTTTGTTTTTTGTTTTTGTTTTTGCAGCCCTGGTATTTGGGCTCCTTTTAACTGGCAAAGGTAAAGATTGATTGGGGCTTTTGCATGCAAAGCACGCCTTTCCCATAGTGCTGAAAAAAAGTGATTTTTTTTTCTTTTACTATGACATTAGGTGAAACATTCATTATTTTGGATCCATACTGTAGGATTAGATCCAAAGAACTGAACAGAGGAAAAATAGCCAGTAATTTATTCTGCAGACACTTGCATGATATTTCACCCGGGACTGTAATAGGCAACTTGTATACCAATTCTTGCCTATTATGTTGTGTGAGCAGTGGTTTGGGGAGTATAAGATTTTTAAGTAGTTTAAATCTTTAGATCTAACTTTCCATTTCATATGCAGTGCACCTAGGTGATGCATAAAAGGCTTCTTCCATGAGTGGAAGGGTACTGCTTGCATCCAACCCTTTAAAACAGGTAAAACTTTACCCTCAAGATGCTGCTTACGACTCTTAATTGTGCCAGATCATTGGTTATTCTGGCTGAAATGAAAGGAATATTATAATCCAGAAACACCTGGAGGGCTACATCTTCCCTACCCAGGCACTTTTGTGAGGCCCCATCCGTGAGGGTATTCAAGGATAGGCCAGACATGCACATGGTGGGCATGTTGTGAATGGAGCCGGCTGGAGCTGGGGGTCAGACTAGATGGCCCGGGAGACCCCTTCTGACTTGCTCTGTTTCTGTGTTTCTATTTCTTCAGATTGTTTTCAGCCCAGACTGAAGGAGGTCTTTAGATGAAAAGCTGCCCCTTTCCCACCTGCTAGGATATGCTTGGGTTTGCTTCCAGTTCTCACCTTATACTTTGCTGTAGCTACTTGTATTGGATCCTTTTAATTCAGTTTTCCCATTAGCCTTTTAAGATTCACGGTTTTTCTAAAGAGAATCTAGGTGGTTTTAAAAAGTATGATATGTTTTGAGACTTGTAATATGTTTGCAGGATAAAGTTGTTATTGGAGTTGCTTATGACTGCTTGGAGAAGATGGTGTATTGGACAGACATCAGCAGCCCATCCATCAGCCGAGCAAGCCTGGGAGGAGGAGAGCCAGCTTTCATCATAAAAACAGGTAAGGCTTGTATGTACTTCTTCGCAACACTGCTTTTTTCCAGTTAATGTTCCTCTGCAGAAGCCATGCCTTCCATTGCTTTCAGAAAAATTGTTGGAAAGCAGGCGCATGAGTGGATGGCTGGGTGAGCTAAAACTTCCTCAGTTACTTAAAATGAAAAAACCCCACCATCCTGTTTCTCATCTAAGCTAAGAAAGCAGCTTTGTGCCTGTCACTGATATTTTACTTTAAAGTTGATAAAATGAGTTGGACGTGCTGCTCCATCAGTTGAGCTTGTAGGCTTTTCCTTACTCTTATGAGTGTTGCTAACCCCTCACATTATGGCTTCCAGGAGAAGCAGACCTGGAATTTGTATATTTCTGGTATAGCCAGGTGTAAAATCTTGTAGAGGTTTGCAGGAGTGCAGTACTCGCCTATTAGCCTGTCTGCACCCAAATCTTGTTACTATACTGGTGAATATCAGCAGGAGCGTGGCATGTTTAAAAAACAGTTGACTCAGAGATGTCTTTTGACACTAGATTCTGTGGAATGTTCCAGTCTGAATACTGATTCTTTCTCTAGGGTAAACTGGGCTTAATATCTATTCCATTTATTACTTCATAATAGTATTTTATGGGTTGTATTCAATGCTGTCAACCTTCCAAGGGAAGGGAAGCAGAGCAACAGAAAGTTATCTTGTGCAAGTGGAAAGCTATTTGCATGATATTGGATTGAACCTATATTATTACATTGTGATACTGTAACTATAAAGCTTAAGAAATTGTTACTCCTACTAAAGTGCTATTTGTTGAATTTGATTTTGTAGTAAACATCTTGCATATTATTTTGCACACATAAGTAGAACGTAAAACTATAGCTGCCCATTATTAACTGCAGAGTCTAGTACAGTGGAATCGTAGGTATGTTTACTGAGAAGTTAGTCCTGTTGAATTCATTAGGACTTACTCCCAGGTGTGTATGGTATCAGTGTCAAAAGTGCCCCTTTGCTAATTTGCTTAAATATAGGTGGGGACAGAGTTGACTACACAGTAAAACTTGCCAAAATGCATGTGGCAAATTGGATTCAAAAGTGGTATTTATATATAATGACAGGCAGAATTAATTTTATAATCTATGTTTATCTTCCCAGTTGCATTTCCCAGTTGCATTTATTGCATTTCATACGTTTTGTATGATGCCCTCATACTGATCATTCAAAACTTTTCAAGTAAACATTCAGAGCTGACGTGGCCCCTTCCAACTTGTGTCTGTGACTGCAGCTGCACTGCCTGCCAATTCTACAAGCTTCCCAAGTTCCACAGCTGTGGAGGCTACTCCACAGGGAGAAATGCTCCCTTTCTACAACTGAATCAATTGGATCAGTTGCAGATCTCTTCTCTAGCCTCTCTGTTGCCAGGCCCCGAGCCTCCAATTCCTTCTGGACAGCCTTGCAGTAACATTAATCAGGCCATCCAAAGCAAGAAATTACTGCCCAGTGGGAGGGAGACCTGCTCACAACATGCCTTACAAATTCCATAGCATCTAGTGGTGGTCTGGGCTTGCTTGTAAACCAGTTTGGAATGAAATTTTTCTCTAAGCTACACAGCCACATCAAATAGTTCACACATGGAAGTTGGGCAGCCACTGGTGAATCACCAAAGAGTGGATGAATGGACCCTTACTTTGCATAAAATTTTCATATGCTGATTCATGCGTGATTGCAGATTTTGAAAGAATGCATATAATTTATTTTTGTTTAAATCATGATATACCACTCTAGCAGAGATGACTATGGCCAGGTGACCTTTGTGCCTTGCCCGGTCTGCTGTCCAGGTGCCATTGATGAGCATGTGTAAAGGCCCAGCTGTTCCTTCTGGTGGTTCTTTATTCTTAAACCAGACTAGGATTGGACTGCAATTCAGACAGAGGACATCTTGAAAATAGAGGGCAGTCGCCTGGCAGTCCATAAACAAGGACACATGGCCACTCTATGGAAAATAGTCAAGGGTCCAGTTAAAAATAGTGTCCATTTAAAAGTATTCACAAACATTTGAAATCAAGACCCCTTTCAGAAGCTGTGATAATACAATTAATTCCTGAGGCAATAATGTAAGGAAGTTCCCTTGGCTTGGTGAGAAATGAAGGAATATGCCCACCTTCACTGTATCTGGTTGGGAGGTTCTGAAAGTTGAGGTCCAACAGTTCTGGAAAGCATTAGGTCAGGGAAGGCTGCCTTATTACAGAATATGTTTTGGAGAAGAGGGTTCATTGATTTTTGCTCTCAGTCTTACAGATGTCTGGCTTGGTGTATGGCTTAAATGACCTCTGTCACAGCGCATCCCAAGGATTTGGCCTGCTGAAATTTGGCAACAGTGTAAAGTTCTTGTGGGAATAAACCATGATGGGTTGATTGGTTGGTTGCTTAATACTCTCCAGCTTTCCATGGTTTGTTTCCCTGCTCCATCTTCCTGCTGCCCCCTAGCTTGCATACCAGGGGCATCACTTTTAAAGCCCCTGCATCAACAAACTTTCTGTAGTTGGGTTGATCAGGAATGCTGGCTACTTAAGAAACTACCACTCCCCTATGTCAGACCACCAGCTGGAATTAATTTTCTGAGCTCTTAACAATGCAGCAATGCATCTGCAAACTTTTTTGTGAGGTGGGAGTCTTGCAAAGGACCACCTGTCCACCGTTCAGCCCAGCGTACCAATATCCCATTTTGTTGGTGTTCTTGTCAATTTTATCCTCCACATCAGCGCTTGCCTTGCTAGCTAACACCTTTAAAAAGGTGCTTCAAGTAGTACCACTAATGATACCCAATCCAAAGTGGCATGTCCTGCAGCCACAAACCGCCTTGGGCTCCCCTCCCATCCCATATTTGCCTCTTCACTCCACTCACTGCCAGAATGTTTAGATGGATACAGGTATAGAAATGTCATGGCAAAAAGCACAAATTTCAAGGCAGAGCAGGGGAAAGTGAGGGGAATCAGTGAAGAGATCCAAATTTCAAGGCACACAGGTGATGTGGACTGGTAAATATATCCGAATTTCAAGGCAAAGCAGTGAAATATGCACATTTCCGATGTGCTCATTTACACAAGAGGGTGTTTTTAAAAAATTAAAAGGTTGCAGATGGGCTTTTGACATAGTCCAGTGTCTGTCTGTCTTGATTTTTAGGAGCATGGGCTGGAGGGCTGCTAGAAGGGCTGAGGTAGCACTGATTAGTTCATGAGAAGCAGCAGGGGTTTTCACTGCTTTTTCCAGATGGCTCTCTAACTTTTCCCAACAACAATGAAGTCGCCTTGCGTGGTTTGGACATTGCAACAGGTCACTTTGAACAATCCAGCAACAAGCCATGGGTTCTTAGGGAGGCTTTCTTGTGAAAAATAAGCCATGCCAGGTTCAGATGTCATGACAGCCTACCTTGGGTGATCATTCACGGTAGGTTCCTGTGCTATGCAGACAAGGCCAATACCTAACAGATACAAATTCTGCATGAGCATTAATGAGGGTGTGAACAGAGCCGCATCCTTGTGTGTCTGTTGGTTGGTTGATTTGCTTGGAAATGAAGTAGAACATTCAGTCATTAAATGATGTTTCAGGTTGGGTGCCAGATGGAACAACATTTTTCCAGAGTTGTGTTTTTTTTTTTTTTTAACTTAGAGTGCCTGATAGAAAAAAATAAAGAAATGGAGCATTGTTCTGAACTGTTTTGTATTCCTGATGTCTCACTTTCCTGGAGGGTCACGATCGTATTTAGTATAGCACTTTAACTGTACTGTACAGCTTATGTGGCATTCAGCACAAATGAAACTATACTCACAGATGTGGCCTAAGCTGTGAACAGCCTGTCCTTAAAAAAAAAGAAAGAAAGAGGAGGAGAAAAGAAACAATTTCAGAACAAATCAGTTGGGGGTTTTTCCCAAGTGGAAGAAACCGTTATAGGCATCTTGAATGTACATGGCTTTGTAAAGGTATTCATTCCACAGTCTGTTTGTGCTCATCGAGCCCTGGGGCCAGGATAGTAGGACATTATCTGCAGTTTCCTGTTGCTTTAGACCTGGTCACTGTCCAAGCAAAACTATGCATATATTCTTAAAATTGTTCCAAACTTCTCCAAGATCATTAACCACTCTGAAGTTTAAGTTTTATCTTGTTTTTGAAGATCAACACTGCTGGTTTTTAAAGCTAGCTCTGTTTTACAGATCTGCAGTTTAACTCATGGCTCTGTTATCAGAAAGAGGTATTGCATTTTCTGTTCTTTTTATTGGCATGTTGCAGATATCTGTAAGTCTACCCCAGTTCCTGCCAGAGGCTGTCCTGCTTTCTGAATTGATCTCATGGCATTTTTGTGTCTCCGGTCAATTATTCCCATTGGGCTTGTCTCATGTACACCAAGCAGTTATATGAGTCTGTTCCTATAGAGCAGTGATGGTGAACCTTTTAGAGACCAAGTGCCCAAACTGCAACCCAGAACCCACTTATTTATCACAAAGTGCCAACACTGCAATAAAACCTGAATACTGAGGTTTTAGCTTAGAAAAAAAACTTCATACATTAACATCTTTTGTCTTAAAAGAAAAACACAATAACAAAGAGAAGGAGCCAAGTTCACATTCAGCACCTCGAGGAATGCAGGGCTTGCTTGCACTGAGTCAGGGTCCCACCACTGCACTAGGAGGGCGGCTTGGGAGGCTGCTCACATGCTGCAGGCTGGGAGGAGGAGGAGGAGCGCTCAGCATGCCCGCTCCCTGCTCGCCTGCTCCCTTCCTGGCGCACCCTCTGCGCACCCTCTGCGGCTGTTTCGTTGTGAAGAAGCAGATCTTTTTCAGAATAATATCTTAAGATTCATGTTATTGCTTGGAAGGAACTTTCCTTCTTTTCAGATTTTAAGTAAAAAATAAAATAATCTATACTATGAATGGAACCTCTTTTGATTTTAAAAAGAATTTTATACTGTCCAATATTCAACAGATAAAGACAGGAACATTTCTGTATAGCAGTGAGTGGGCTAGGGGTGATGTTCAATGGATCAGTGGCACAGCCTAGCAGGAAATAGGAAGGCCAAAGCATTCTAGATTCAGATCTTCCACTGGAAGACAGCGGAACTAAAAGTGTGTGCAGCAAGGCGAGTCACAGATTACAAAACAAGTCAAATACTATAATAAACTGTATTAAGCAATATTTGCACTGCATTGCGCTTGTGCCACTTGGAGGTACTTTGCTTCCATTTTACAGATGAGTATTAAGATATAGCAGTAACTAACAAGCCCAAGATCAGATGGCTAAGAACACTTAAATTAGCTTTCCAAATGCCTTTGGGCTGTAGCTCCCCTCAAAAATAGTCAGTAAAACCAATGGTGAGGAATGACAAGTTGCAGTCCAGCTTCATCTATTGGACTGTGTATCCTCCATTCCTCTGCAAGCTTATAACAACTATAGGTCTTCTAATCTACTTGCCATCCTATTTGTGAGCAAACTTAATTCCTAGTGATTGTGGATACTAACTACTAAGAGGATATTATTTTTACAAACTTAAACAGAAATGTCTTTCTATTCATCATTATTCACCATTCATTTCACTGTTTTTAAGCAAGTACAATAATAAATCTGAATTTCAAGTGTATCATTATAATTCTTGTGTGACGGAAGTTCTGTCAGATACACTCATGGTTTTTCCGTGAATGGATTTGGCCTGATATAGCATGCTAATTTGTCTCCTGTCCTCTGTATGAGTGTTGTTTTTCCAGAAGCTGGGAAGAATTTTGAAATTGGACATTTATTATGTTTTTTCATTAATAAAACAATTTAAAAATGTATTTGCACAAGTAGGAAAATGTTTAGCTTGACATTTGTGATCTAAGACATTACATTTTGTAAAAAAAAAAAAAAAATAATTCCATAATGTGTTGCCTGATTCCCCCATCTTCAAGTTGAAATAATCATCCTTATGCTTTAGCAAACCAAGAGGGCCTTTTGCAATATATTATTTATTTATTTATTATTTATTAAAACATTTTTATGCCGCCCCATTTGCCAAAGCCTCGGGGCGGCTTACAATAATAAATTAAAAATAATTATAATAATAAATTAAAAATATAAACATTAGATAAAAATACAAAAATACAATATAAAATAAGCTGCCCTGGCCAGATAAAATCTAATAATATTAACAGTTAAAATGCCGCTTAAATAAAAAGGTCTTCGCCTGGTGCCGAAAAACAAATAACGACGGCGCCAGGCGGACCTCTCTGGGGAGCGCATTCCATAACTTAGGCGCCACCGCAGAGAAAGCCCTCCTCTGAGTACCCACCCTCCTAATTTCTTTCACGGAGGGTTCCCGGAGAAGGGCCTCTCCCGCCGAACTCAAGGGGCGGCCAGGCGTATATGGATGTAAGCGCTCCTTCAGGTAACCAGGACCCAAGCTGTTTAGGGCTTTATAGGTCATCACCAACACCTTGAATTGGGCCCGGACTTCAATGGGGAGCCAGTGAAGCTGACGGAGAACTGGAGTCATGTGAACATAACACCCAGTCCCCATCAGCAGCCTGGCAGCTCTATTTTGAACCAATTGAAGTATCCGGACTGTCTTCAAGGGTAGCCCCACGTAGAGCTCGTTACAGAAGTCAAGACGGGAAGTCACCAGCGCATGTGTCACTGTCGCAAGGCAGTCGTACTCCAGGTAGGGGCGGAGCTGATGAATTAGCCGAAGCTGGAGGAAAGCGCTCCTCACCGCTGCTGTCACCTGAGCTTCCAATGAAAGCTCTGGGTTGAGGAGCACTCCCAAGCTGCGGACCTTGTCCCTAAGAGGGAGTGCAACCCCATTCAGGACAAGGTTCAATTCACCCTCACGGAAGCCCGATCCACCAACCAACAGGACCTCCGTCTTGTCTGGATTGAGCTTCAGTTTATTATGGAACATTTTTATTGCCTCTGCATTAAGATGCCAGAACTGACATATTGGAGATAATTAAGAACTTGGAGAGAATCTGATGTTTGTTTTCCTTTTGTTCAAGAGGAAAGTACTGAGTTTCTAGACCATAATTGGGAATTTGCTGAAACTGGGGAAATGATTTGATTATGAACTTGTTTTCCCTGAAAGGAGACGGAGAATGGGATATTTTGGGTAAACAATGTTGTGTATTGTTTTTTCTTTTCTCCTCTCCCTCAGATTTGGAAAGTCCTGAAGGAATAGCTCTTGATCACCTTGGGCGCACCCTCTTTTGGACAGATTCTCAGCTTGACAGAATAGAGGTAGCGAGACTAGATGGCAGCCAGCGCCGAGTGCTCTTCGACACTGACCTCGTGAACCCCCGAGCCATTGTGGCCGATCCCATGAGAGGGTAGGTATACACCTCCGAATAACTGCTGTTTTCAAAATGTGCTTGCCATTTTATTTCAGTACCTTCAGTGAGATTCTTTCCATGTGCTAATATCATGAGCGCAAAATAGATATTTGTCATATCCCTTGGTTTCCAAAAGATTTTTTAAATCCAGAAAATATTAATTGGGTAATTACAAGAACTAAGAAGCTTTGTTAGCTTTTCTGGTCAGACTGCCAAGAATTTTTACAGTTTAAACAGCATTTTTGCTCCTGAGTGCTAAGTCATAGTAATAAAAAGTGGAGCCTATTTGATTTTGTAGAATGACCATTCAAGGCCACATTCCAGAAGGCTACATGCATACAATTTTATACTTACTTGAGCACTGGTGGTTGCTGAGATCCTCTTGCTGCAGCTCCCTCCAGGGAACTTCCAAATGGATTCTCAGAATTGGTTCAGTTCAGGGAACTGCTTGGGGGTATGGTGTGAGGAAATCTAAGCTCAGATTATACTTATAAGCTTTCTTCCTGAGGCTTTTAACTTGCACTTTAGCTCTGCTTCCAGATGGTATAGAGGTTTTCCACATGCCTGTTCTTTTGTTCTCCTATATATTGCTACATAACTTTTCACTGGTGAGGAAGCCAACAAAATACCTATAGAACTTCAGAGTCTGTTTAGGAAGGTCCCTAAGCAGACTGAAATTTGTCTGTGTAGACTGAACCGCAAAATCAATGTTTACATTTATTGAACTTTCTCAAAAGCATTTTAATTGGCACCAACAGGGGACATGTCCAAAACAATATTTTAAATAGTTGGTGAGAGGCTAAAATGGGACCGTTTATTGTTGAAAGAATTTCAGGCTGCCTGAAAGGTTATTTCTACTGAATAAGCAGAGCAAAATTAATTAAAGCAGCAACACTCCAAAAAGGCATGTGCACTTTTTCTATGTAATGGTCTACATGGTGCCTATTATACAGGAATAGGAGCACCAGCATAATTAAGGCACAGGGATTAAAAGTGTTCTACCAGTATAAACGTTGAAAAATTTAATTATTATAAAATCAAGACAATTTCTCACAGCTGTATGAAATCAGGATTTTAGAAGAACCCAATAACAACTGTGACATACACGAGTTTGAAAGTATTGCTATGAAAATGCAGTTTCCTCTGGTTTGCAACTTTTCAGTGTTTGTGTTAAAGATGTATTATTTTACACACTTCCTGTACTTCATGTGAAAGCATTTAGAGAAATCAGGATTACAGGAGTGTGCACTAGGTGACTGCTGGAATCACAGGACATTAAGCTCCATTGTTTTCCCTAGCCCTTTGGAGGAACATGGCTGGGCTAAAAGAGCAAGTGTAGAAGCCAATTGGTTGGATGAGCACCTAATGTGAGACTGTGGAACACCATTCTCCTACCTGGTGTCTGCCAGATACTTTGGATTTCAGCCCCCATCACTCCAGTCATTGTAGACTGTTACCAGTGCTGATCATCCAGAATATCTGAAAGGCACAACACTGGGATGGCTACTGTAGAATTACTCTCTTCTCCACAGTGGGTGGGTTTGCAAGATACAACAACCCATCTGTCATGTGAAGCTGGACCACTTCCCACAGGGTGGTTTGTTCATGGGCAACAAGCCACTTCAAAATCCCATAGCTTGTTCATGGTGTTGCTAGACCCACAATGGGTTATTGTATCATCTGAACTTGGGTGACCAACCACATTGTGGGTTGAGAGAAGTGGATTAGTGATTGCATGTATCACACTGTGAGCCCCCTGTTCCATGGCAATTCACCTTGCATAGTTTATTCATAAGGTAGGGAACGCGGTGGTGCAGTGGTTTAATGACGCTGCAACTGTCGGCCAGAAATAGTTGGCACTCCAGCGGTTTGAGCTCAGCCCTGTGAGATGGAGTGAGGTCCTGTCGCTTGTCCCTCGCCCCCATCCACCTAGGAAAGGAAACCCCCAGATGAGCCAACTTCCTCAAGAGCATTGCAGGCCAGCTGGTGTTAAACTGGATCATCCCCAGTGGTGCACCACTACAAGAAAAGACTAGCAACTGTTGGCTGCCAGAATATCTGCCATTTATAAAAGCATTGTAGACTCTGACCATGTATGCCATATGCTAAATAAATAATTAAATATTCATAAGGTGGATTCTTTTGATATACAAACCTATCCATTCTTAGTCTTAATCTGTGTAAGTGTGTGTGGGGGAGGGGGAGAGGTAGGGAGGTAGGTATAAATTGCCTAGAATTTCATAATACTTAAGCACTTTAATAATGAATTCCATCATGAACATATGATGTGCCCTAGTACTTCTTTTAAACAAAGTTTTGTCTTTGTTTTTAAATTAGAATGTAGTAAGCAAATGGGTACTGTTTGCATGATAAGCAAACAGTACATGCTTAACATGACAAAATTGACAAGCAAGCCCTAAATAAGTTTACTGAGAAGTTAGTCTCATTGTGTTCAATGGAAGTTCCTTCCAGGTAAGTACATAAAGGATCACAGCCTAAATGAATTGACAGATACTGGCTCAGTGCACTCCTCATGTTACTCAGAGCTTTCATCAGGGTATTTCTTTTTCCTTATGATGTCTTATTCACATTCTGCATTTGTTTCTATATGCAGAAATATTTATTGGACAGATTGGAACAGAGAGGCTCCAAAAATAGAAACTTCATACATGGATGGTACAAATAGAAGAATTCTTGTCAACGATGATTTGGGACTACCAAATGGGCTGACATTTGATCCTCACTCTTCATTATTGTGCTGGGTAGATGCAGGTAAAGGCTGATCCACAATGCAGAATGTAATAAATTGATGAAGTACTAACTTCAGAATTGCAAAGTGAGCCTCCTATGGTGGTTGTGACCTAGCCTTCCAGCATTACTTTTCAGAGTATAAAATCCTCTACAGAAGTGTTTTTCAACCTTCCCACAGCTGGGGACTGGCAAAACCAGGAAAACCACCTCGAGGAGCACTGAGACAGAAACAGAAAAGCACCATGCACACAATACAGTTTTCTATGTATTAGTTTCCAAACACAATACCAATTTTTTTTAATAATAATTCCCAAAACAGACAGAAACTGAGCAACAAAAAATGCCAACAAAAGAACAAAATACCGAAATCAGCACAGCATGGCTCCCAGCGGGCTCCCACTCAGCCGTCTCTCCCCTCCCAGCTTCCCCAGTGGCACCTGCGCACCCCCGGTGAACACGATGCCAACCAGGGAAGAGGTGGTGGAGAAGAGCCAGTCCCCGGGCTGGCCTGCAGCAAGTGGGAGCCGCCCCCCCCCCCCCCCGACCAGCAGGAAATCTCTCACGGACTGGCGGTTAAAACCCACTACTCTACAGTGCTTACTTGTGACTATTCTCTCAGTGATTCTGAGGCATCAGTGGGTCTCACTTTGAACACATCTGGTTCCATTCGTGCCTTCCTTTGATTTGTCTGCCCAACAGAGAAGAAGAGAGTGGACTGAACCATTGGTTTCTGTTTTGTCTTCTTAGAAGTATGGCGATTCCACTTGCAAACCCTGCAGTCTATTTGGACTTCTGTTCCAGCTCTCCTTAAAAATGAACATCCTGGGTTGGTTTCATTTGGTTTGGTAAATGTGAAAATGTGATGGTCCAGTTTCAAAAAAAGAATAAAAGGGAGCAACAAAAAGAGAGCATTCATGACAGCATATTTTTCTGCTAGGGCCAAAATAATTGTTAACACTTCCTAAATACTACAACCCTAAAGGCTGTTTTTTCCTCTGACTTTTAATATATTTTAAACATGGAGCTTTGTCCTGAAATAAGTTGTGCAATAGAGATCAGACATATGAACATGGAAATCTATACAGTTTGCCAGTGATTCCAGCATAGATTTTTCAAACTGTTGTGGGAGTCAGGGCAGTGCAGTCCTGATCCTAATCTCCCACTATACTTACATTAAAAAATCAGTAGAATCCATTGCTTGTAACTGGAAGATATATCAGAGTAAAGAATGTATAAGAGATCAGTTAGGGTAATAAAACCTTATCCAGACATTTGAATATTCCAGAATACGGCCAACCCCCCCCCCCAAAAACCCATCTGATTCAGTCTTGCATGCAATGCTAAGTAAGAGGCCTGGTTTGCACAATCCAATTAGCCCACCATGGTTTATTCAAGCTACAGTGGCTGCAATTTATGCTCGGGGCCAGTTTAAATATGCAGTCCTTGCATAACCATCACCACCCAGATTCTTGTGACATGACAAGCCATAGCACATGTCAGCCTTGCATAACCCACACTACAGAGGCTCACTGTGACATGCAAACTGGCTCAGAGTTTGGATTTCTATACAAAATTAAAATTTAAAGTGTGTGATCTGCAGTTCATACCAACACATTTTCTGCATGTTATCTAACTTTATAAGCTGCAGTTGCATGCATTACTGCTTTCTCTTTAACAAACTTCCTCATACACTGAGAGAACAGTTAGGTGTTCATGTTGTAAAATAAGCAAATGCACATTATTTTTAGTTATTACATTTATAGCCTACCTTTTGTCTTCTTGCCAAGAATCAAAATCAGTTTACATTCCTGTCTTCCACTCCATTTTATCCTCACAATAACCATGTAAGGTAGATTTAAAAAGTAAGTGAAGTTTTCAGTTCCTCCTTGATGCAATTCCTACAAAACATTCACAGAGAAATTTTCTTCAAATAGATGCAACAAGAAGTAATTCCAAAAGGCAATAAACAATGAAAGACATCCTATTAACACCTTGCTTGGTAGACTAAATTAGATGGCATATGTTTTGCCTCATTCAGAAATATTCAAATGCCCAGATAACATTCTGTTTACTCCGATGGATGTCCTATATGTTTTTCTTAATTTTTCAACTGAGTGTTACATGGTTGTTCACTGAAGCTTCTGGAATATGATTCTCCTGGGCATGGTTTGAATTGGAGGGCAGTAAGAACCTTCAGAAGGAGCACACATTTAGGAAAGGGCTGTAGCTCAGGGATGCAGCCCAACCTCTGCAAGCAGAAGGCCCTGGGCTCAATTCCTGGTATCTCTATGTAGGGCTAGAAAAGACTCCTGCCTGAAACCCTGGAAAACCACTGCTAGGAACTAGAGCTAATTCTGAATTAGACAAATTCAGGGAAGGCAGCTTGCTGTGTTGCTGAGAATGTCCTCATAGGGCTACTGTTTGCATCCAATATGGGGGAAGGTATGGTGGATGCAGAACCAAGGTTTTCGTTGTGGATATGGTGTATCCAGTGCAAAACGATTGGAAGGAATTAGGCAAAACAGAATATTCTTCACAAGGAGGATTATCTGGAAGAGATGTCAACAAGGCTTGGTATGGATGAGCACAGAAGCTTTGAGGAAATAAATTCCATGCATGCTCCTTTTATTGTGTCAGTGTTGCCTTCACCTACCCACCCCAGAAGGACTATTTGTCACCTGGTTGTTTTATTCTGCACAGGCACCAAACGGGTTGAATGCATAGATCCCAATCAGCTTAGTCGGAGAAGGATCCTTGAAGGAATCCAGTATCCTTTCAGCATTACAAGCTATGGGAAGAATTTGTTTTACACAGACTGGAGGAGGTATGATGGTCTGTGTTTGAAAAGTGTTTGTACCTTATTCCAGCCCCCGGCTCCAACTATGGTCTCATAGAAACTTCCTTTGTTATTTTGGCAGTGTGTACATTTTTCCTAAGAGAATTCAGTCTCCTCTCAAGGCAAACAGCTGAAGCAGACCTCCTAAGCAGGACGTATTTATGTTAACTCTTTGTTCACCCTGCGTGTGGAGTAATGGGAGTTAGAAGGGCAGCTCCCTGCATGAAGGTAGCACTTCTAATGCATAGTGCAGAAACCATAATTGAAACCCTGTTTTTTCAATATGCAAATGTTCCATCACAACCTCTAAATTTGAGCCGCAGGCTTTACGTCTTTAGGATAACACTGGACAAAAGTGTGGATACATTCGTGTGCTTTGAAAACAAAATTTAGGAACAAATAGTTCAGAATGGCAATGACAGAGTGGCTTTGAGGTAGAAACGTGACAGTTGTGGAAGGCAAATGCAAGCAACTCGTAGCCTGCCACATGTTTCGGTCTACAATTCCCATCATGCCTTATCATTGATGTGCTGTCTAGGACTGCTGGGAGTTGTAGGCTGAAACATCTGGAGGGCTGCAAGTTGCCTGGCCTTGCCCTAACATTTCTATTTGCAGGGAGGGAGGGCAGCAGAGAGCTGAATTAAATCCTCCTTTGTGCTCTCCCAAACTGATGACTGGACTTGTACTTTCAGGGAAATGCACATTTGCACATAGTGTCCCTTTGCATGTAGGGTCCACTTTGGGATGTTTCTGTGCACGCATCCTCATGCCTATATTATTTTTCAGTCACCAGAAGATTCTTTAACCCAGGTTTTGAGTTCCAAACCTAAATATTCTCAGAATGTCCTTTTACATTATGTCTCCAGATACTTTTCTGCAGCTTTTGAATGGAACCTTTGCTTTTGAACTACATCATAGTATAAAGCACAGAAAGTCACTTTTCTATTGGGAAGAAATCAATAAATTGGAATGTTGCAACAACTACTGTTCCCATGCCCATAGACAGGACCGAAAGAAATACAAAACCTATTGCATAAATATTTTATCCATTGCCTCCTACTTACAGCTGCTAAAATTATTCTACCATTAAGACTCCATATGAACATTTATACGCTGTAACAGACTTCAGGCTTCTCATAATATGTAGGATCAAAAGTTAAGCAAAACATTGAACAGTCTTTCCTCCATTTTTTTCCAGAGATGCAGTGGTAGCAGTGGATCGCACAATCTCACAGGAAAATGATAACTTCCAGCCCCACAAGCGCACTCGACTTTATGGAATAACTACAGCCTTGGCTCAGTGTCCACAAGGTAACTGCAGAATTACTACTACTAATAAGCAACAGTGAATCTGGCAGTAGGAATAGATCATTACACAGTGTTTCTCAGAAATGTCCGGCAACATGGTAATAAAAATAAGCTGATGGCCTAATAATAGATATATGGATAACTCTAAATTGAGTAATTTAGGAAAAGGTGCTCACAGTTGTTTCGCTGCCACATGGATGCTACGGAATTTTCACTTGAAGAGTCCGAAATTCCTCTTATAAGTCTTACATGATTTACAAAAGCATTTTATAAGCCTCTGATTGCATTGTTACACTTTACTCTGAAGTCAGAATTCAGGAAACATCTTCAGTCTGTCCCCTTATCCTTTTTACCATTCTGATTGTTTAACAAACAGAATATATTAGACAAGAGAAGGTAATAGGCTGAATAAAGTCACATGTTTCAGAGCTATATGCAAAGCTTTCAGTTAAATAAACAGTTGAAAAGTCCAGATGTTCTCTGCAGAGATGAAAAACACTGAGGATATTTTTTTAAAACCCATCATCGTTAAGAGTCATATGCATGCTGTGTTTGGGAAAGGGTGTCCTAGTTGCTGAGTTTATCATTTCTGGACTAACTCGATCTGTGTTGGAAGCCAGTTTCACTTGTGCCAAGTGTAGAACTTAGATACAAAGGGCACTGAGACCCTTCTAAGAAAATGCAGCCTATGTGTACATTCATTATCCTTTCTGGAATATTTCAAACGTTTTCAGGATGTTCAGTACTGTTGTTGTTCCAGAGCCAATGAACTGAACTGAAAACTAAAGCTAGGACATCTTTAACACAATGGGCTGGTTCAGATGTAATGATAAGGCATAGCTTTGTGTTGTGTGCTTTAGTCATGTTGAGCTTTAGATTCATGTACTTCCCCACTATCACCCTTTTGGTGCACAGGAGGACAAATGAAGGTCATGCTTTGGTTTTTAAACTAAGCTGAATTCTCAAATGCATTTAAACTCTAGTTAGTTCAAAAAATCCAGGAACAAACTGAGGTTTATGGTCCTGGATTAATTATTGTGCCACAGAGGAAAGGGGAAAGGAAGTACATGAGTCCAAGGTTCACTGCAGCTCATGCATGTAGCAAAAATAGGCCATAACTAATTGTGTCTGATTGCCACAGTGTTTGTTTTTCCTCCATTGCTTTCTTCTAAATATATAAAAAGCAAAACAAAATGTTTATGTATAATAAAACATTCTTGTATGCCCCTTACAGGTCATAACTATTGTTCAGTAAATAATGGAGGTTGCACCCATCTATGCCTGGCTACTCCAGGGGGCCGTTCTTGCCGGTGTCCAGACAATACCATCGGAGTGGATTGTATAGAAAGAAACTAAGAGCTACAGCCTGGAACATGTTGAGGCAGCTGCCACTTTTTTGAAATGCACCATCAGTAACTAGTTAAATGGCCAGTCATATACAAGGAAAGGTCCCAAAGATAAAAATTCCATGCTCCCTGCAGCTAGAAGCCACACAACGCACATGTTAGAACAGCAGTGCCTACACAATGGAAAGCTGGTTGATCATTGTAGTCTTCCCTCTGCCTCCTCCCTTTTTTTTTAAATTGGAAAGTCTAGTGATCAGCTGTACCTATGCTGGTCAGATATCACCTAGTCAGTGCGTTAAACAAATTATAGCATGGGAGGGTTGATAAGGACAAGTCATCAGGATCTTAGACATTCATGATGACTTGATGACAGTATTTTGACAATCACTTTACAAATTAACTTTCTATATCCCAACATCAGTACAGCTTAGTTGCAAAAACATCTGAATGCTGAGCAGTAAAGCTGAGTAAAAGTTGAAATATCAAATGTAAGAGCATATTTGCAATAACAACCAGCAACTTAAGTGAAGGGAATCTCACATTCAATGGATTCTTGTTCCAGAGGTTTTAAGAACCACAGCCACTATTCCTTCAGACTTTTGAAAGCTGGCAATATGATATAATTGGAATGCTTCATTAAAAAGGATTAAAGCAATTTCATGGTAGAAATTGTTGGCCTGTCTGTACAGCACTAACTGTCTTCTCAGTAATGTTTTACTGGGTATTTTCATTTTTTCAATGTATTTTCCAAAAGATGTTTATGGGGGTGGACAGAGACGTGTGTGATGCATTTATACTGGTCTAGTTCCTCTGATTCAGTAATTAGCACCAGGATAAACTATTACTAAATCATCTTTCTCTGCCCCTTTGATTTGAAAAACAGCAGGAATTTGAATTTGCCATGAGCAAATGGCAAGATGGTGAAACAATCCATCAGGTAGCCAAAACGTAAGTCATAGGACTTTATGCTGTTACTTCTTTGATATGTAGGAAAAACCAGGGGCCTATTCTGTGCCAGTTGCTGTCAAGCACATTGCTTCCCCATTGGAATTAGCAAAGTATGCTGAATAAACCAGAGAAAGGTTTTAAATGCATTCCCAAATTATTTTGCTAATGCAATTTTTAGGGGCCTCATTTGTGCTGGTAAATTACACCCACAGTAGAACAAACAACAAACATCTGTAGTGATTATATTTTACAATGCAGTGATTTAATTAAAAAACAAAATGTTTAGATTCCAGGAAGCATTCCTTGCCAGGCTAAAATTTCGTTAGAGCAGAGCCAGTTCTGAGCCTTTAGCTCTTTGGCAACTTTTGCATATTTATCATTAAAATATCAAATGCTATATTAAATGTTTTAATATTTGTATAATGCTTGTATAACTTTAATGCATTTAATTCTAACACTTTAATTTTAATAGATATGTTTGAAGACCTGTAAATATCAAAAACTGTGCTGAAACAAACCAAAGGTGCTTTTAATTAAGTTCTTCCAGTGTTATTTCAATTTCAGGTAACTACACAAAAAAGTTTACATGCTGTATCACTGATTGCAGCACTGCCAATAAAAGAATTGTTTTGATTTTGTAAAAAAAGTTTTTGTACCTACAGCATTGTGGTATTTTACCTGTACAACCATCTGTATTTGTGTTCACATATAGATCAGTTTTCTGAGCACAGGTGCCAATTAATATGTACTTCTAACAAGCACAAGCAGAGTCTTTAAAAGACAGGCTAGGAAAATGGTTTATGTGCAGCAGTCCTGGAGAAATTAGGACTGTTATCCAGAACAGTGCTCAGAATCTGTTCAACTAAAATATGTCAGTGTATACAAACAGAACTGCTGGCAGCAATCCTTAGCTCTGTCCCAAATAATGTACAGACTAGTCCAAAAAGAAATTGTGAAAGCTTAGTTCTACCAGGGACTATGCAGATATGGAGCTGGGCAGAAACAAAGTTATTGACCCACATACTGTATCATGTTGCTCCATTTTTCTATGCTGTAGACCTGCCTCTCCCAGCTTAGTGCCCTCCACATATTTTGGGCTGTAATTCCCAGAATTCCTGGCCATTGACCATGCTGGGTGGGGTTGATGGGAGTTGAAGTTCAGAACTTCTGGAGGGCACCAGGCTATGGAAGGCTGTAGCAGATCATGGCTGAACTACAGTTATTGAAAGTATGGGGAAAGAGATGTGAACTCTGTCAAGCTATGGGAAGGGTGAATAGATTTATTCCCTGCATACAGAACAAATTGTGCTGTCCTAGCTTAATGATTTTTAAAGAGCATTGATGAGAGCAAGAAAGAGGAAATGCCTCAATTCTCTGTGGACTCTGCAGTGTTTCTAATGAGGCTGTGCTCTGTCCAGAGCCCAAGTGCTTTGTAAGGAAATTGGTTCATTCTTCACTAGTGAGCCTGAGTGCAGTTCAATTAGGTAGATCAGGGTCTGTGTCCTAAGGATAATCCCAGAACTTTGCCATTCTGTAAACCAGTATTAGATGCAGTAAACTCTTCAGTATTTCTGCAACGGTAAAGGGTATATCCCAAGTCTCTGCCTTTCTTGACTTGGAGGATCATCAAGACTAGTTGCTGATGTTAAAAATATTATCAAAACCCTCATGAGATGAGAGCCCTTCAGTATGTGAGAGAACAGGAATTATTTCCAATGTATTAACTGTTGCACATTGATCCTTCCAGCCAAGGTAAGAAGCACCATGCCATCATCCTCTTAAGGCAGAGTTGGGAAATGTGGCCCCCCAGATGATATTACATTCCAGCTCCCATAAGCACTTCCTGTGTAACTGATGGTCAGGGATGATAAGAACTGTAGTTCTACTTTTAATCCAGAGTGTGTCAGGGTGTAACTGGAGCTAAAGCCATTGCAGAGGCACCAGCCCCTCTGGGGGTGTTTTTTATGGGTGCAACGGCCTGTGTCACAAAAACACCCCACAGACAGCTTTGCAGATCAGCCATCTGAGGCCATGTTTTGTTCTTTTACTAGATAGTACAAATTCAAATGAACTCTGAGTGCCATAGCAGTGTTTGCCCTGTTTTACAAGAATTCTGAAGCAGCTCAGGCTGAGGGATCATGGCGTACCAAATACTGCACAGTGAATTTCATAGCTTGGAGGATATAGTTGCTGAAATTAGTGCTCTACAATTCTGGCTTTCATTGAGTAATGTCTGAGGTCTGATCTCACATGTTACTAGAGCCACGAAGAAACTATTTCACATGGATATGAGCGTCATGCTACTCTGGGAAGATCTAGGAAGGAGCCACACAAATTGAGTAATGACATGTTCCCTCCGATTCCATTGGTGCCACTACCTGCACTGTGTACAATGCCATGATACTTGGCTAGCCATATGCTTTTCTACAAACATAAAGGAATAATCATGGGATATAGGACTGGACCATGGTATAATGATGTTCATGCCCAAGTCTTACTGGGACTAAGAGTCTTACTGTAAGACTTGAAGAATAAGGAAATGAATGCTTAGATAAGGTTTGGCGAAAATCATAATATCTGCAAACCTTACAGTTTGGGCTCAGTATACCCTGACAAATACTGCCTTCCATATCTTATGCCCTGCTTATTCGGGTGTACAGGAGAGACACTACTCTGTTCTCTGTCTTCTATAACTGTGAAAAATCTGACGTCATGAAACTCTGCCGTTTCTATGGCAGCACCCATGGGATACACTCCTGTTGGAAGTACCTTGAGCCACCTCTCCGAGGGTGTTTTTTCAACTAGTAATCAAAACCTAGCTGTTCAGGGAAGAGTTTGATGCTAGGTGATTTGTGACTAGAGTTGAATTTTTGCCATTTGCTATTGTCTTTCAGGATATTCTTCCAGCTGTATTTTATATGTGCAAGGGTTTTTGAACTTTTTTCCCTGGTCCAAATTACCTTGCCTCTTGGTACGCTGTGTACCACTTCAGATGCAACTTAATCAGCCAAACAGGCAGCATATAAATGTATGTAAGAATGAATGAATAAAATAAATGTGCTGGCCCTGTATTGTTACAGTGAAATAGATAGATACAATTGGTTAATGTGAAAATCTCCTTAAATCTTAACAATCTAAGCAAATCTTAGCTTGCAACAGGCTATATTGGTATTTAGTAAATCTCAAATTTCAGAATGATTGAAAATTGCGCAAGGAAAATATGGAAGTATCTAAAAGGCTATGAAAATGTTGGATGGTCTCTTCCAAGTGCATTGTGGAAATACTTAGCAATAAACATTGACTGTGCTATATTAAGTTTTGCTTCTTATGATTTATTATCTGTATGGAATCTACTCCTCGGGAATGTTGCCAGCACAAGATCACTTACAACATTGCAACGTTCTCTGTGGGAGTATTCCAAGTTGTAAAAATGCTTGTTTGGCATTTCTCTGATTACACAATTTTGTCACAACACATTGGGTATGGACTCGGGGAACATGATTAAGAATGACAGGAGATTATTAGAGGATAAGAGGATAAATGGCCCCTCAATGACAGTTTCATACTTCATCAGTTCAATCTGAGTTTATGCACAGTCCAGTACTCAGAGCATTTCATGGTCTTGTAGCAGTAGTGAAACAAAGTGTTAAGAGAAGCTTGCTAAATTCCAGTCCTTATAAAGTAGTTACGGTGATGCTGCCACCTTATATGGCTGTGCCCATTTGGACTACTTGCTGCTTCCAATCAAATAGATGCCTTGTCCAAACCACAACCCAAATCCAGTTCAAATAGGGCTCTTTGTTCTGGCTTTGTCAATAGATTCTGGGAATTGTTGCTTGCTAAAAGGGGCATTGACATGGGTTTATTGGTGATTATCAGTTTTATAGAGAATCTCTGTTCCCTTTTTTCTTCTTTGGGGCAAACTAGCTGATGTGTATTTGAAGTTCCCTGTCTGCTTGTACAGTAATTAGCAGTGCAATTGTATGCATGTCTACTCAATAGCTAAACCCAGTGGGGTTTACTCCAAGGTAAATAGATGCAGGATTTCAGCCTAAGTTGGTCACTCTCAAATCTACGACCCCAATGTGATTCCAAAAGGAATGACATGTTTTAAGTGCTGCTAAAGACCCAGTTCTTTACTGAGGTCCGCTCACCCAAGTGAGTGTGCTGCACTGTCAGTGTGCTTATAATTGTAAAGATGGCCAGTGTACTAGAATGGACTGTTCCATATGATCCTGCAATCTTAAACACATGTGTCTGGGTCTAAGCCCCATTGAACACAATATGTCTTCTCTCTCCCTCTCCCTCTCCCTCTCCCTCTCCCTCTCCCTCTCTCCCCTATTCCACAAAGCCCACAATAGTTCCATAGGATTTCATTTTATATTGGAATAGATGTATATAGCATTGCAATAAGTAATTAAGTAATTTAGGATCCTATGGCCTCCCAACAAAGACTGGGAGGCCACAGGATTATTTGGAGTCCCAGTTCTTACATTCTGTAAGCTAAGATGGCCAAGCCTCTGCCCTGTCACAGCTGGGTGGAAAGAGCTGAATCAGCTGCTCCCCTGAGTTCTGTCTTCTGTCTCCCATGAACCCCTGCATCAGCTGCACCCCAAGAGAGAGAAACAGGGTTTTGCTGGGGAATGAGGAAGGGAGGAGACTACGACCAAGAACTTAAACTGGTTTCTGTTGGTGTCTCAGCCTCTTTCCCTCCCCCTCCCACCACTTCATCTAGTCAACTGGATCCAGCCATCTGGATAAATTATTTGGTGCAAGATGTGTGTGGAGCGGGGTAGATATTGCCACTGTCACACCTCCAAATATAGGATGTATATAAAGTTCCAAGTTTGGAGGCTAATGTGCAATGAGAACGTGAGGCATGGGGCTATGCCATAACTCAAGTAAAACACATGTATACATTCTGAAAACCCCCAGGGAAGGGTTGATTTCCCAGATTTAAGAAAAATATTCTCAGTTACAGTAAGTGCACCAGAGTCCAAATGGGCTCAAAACTTGACAAGTACAAGATCAATCAGTATCAATGCAGCAACATGTGCCAATCTTGATTTTCAAATTAGCAATGTTGCCTTTGGTCCCCTGTGATTCTTACAGATAGAAGACAACCTGTAGTTTGAATGACAAACTGCCTGCTAGCTTTGGATTAAAAAAAAAAACCTTAGAAAAATACCAGATAGCAGGGCTTTGCAAAATGACTCATTGTAATTTTTATTTTTACTTTTACTCTTTACAACAAGAGGGAGATGTTAGGAAGGAGAGCTGACCCCCCATGACCCTTCCACATGACCTTTACATGCTTTTATACTGCAGTCATTCCTTTCCCAGCCCTGGCCTGATCCTAAAACTGATCTGTGCAAAAGAGAAAAATATGTACAGCAATCGAGTACATGGCAGTAAGACACGCATGCTTGCTATAGAAAAAAATAGGTCTACCAGGTCTTGACAGGCAAAATTTCCAGTACAAGGGTAGAACCGTGCTGTGGAGGGCACTGAGATCATTGGCAGGAACTGGTCAGATGTCAAACAGGAGTGATCCTGGGCTCAGCTCAATGGTGCTAGGCTGGAGCACAGGGCCCTCATGGGAGGGAACAGGAAGGTCAAAGCACTGAACAGGCAGAATCAGAGAAAATGTTCTGTGCATCTAAGAGGGACCAATATTGCATGTGTGTTGAGTCCCATGCCACCAAACAATACATGATACGTGTACCATGGCAAAAGACCTGCATGCAATTATTGTAAAAGCAAAGCTTTAAAAATACATGCAGGGCAGGGCAGATAACTCAAGGAAGTGAGTGCTTATCAAGTCAAATGCAGCATATTAAAATATTAAACATATTTTAATATTGTGGCTGATGCTTTCTGTTCCCTAGAACACTAAGTAAATCTATGGCACACAGCTCAAAATGTATATAGAGAAAATCACTTAAGGAAGACATACTGCAGATTACAATGAGTCACAACCTGCATCTTATGGTGAAGAAATTAAACATTTAGAAAGCATTTGCTTATTGCAGACTCATACACACATATTTGCAGGAACACACTAACTTATACATTCACGGTGTCACCTTCCATAAACTACACATCACTGGAGCTTAAAACTTCTCCCCTCAAAAATCATGTGCTGGGTCAGTGCACAGTGGTACCTGTGAAGGGCTCTTTCTCATGCTCATGGCAAATACAGATGGTGACATATCTGGTCAACATGAGCATTAGATTGGGTGGCCACCAGGTGTGACTTAACTCCCCTTCTCAATACATGGCATTTCCCCCTGCCTTTTGCACATTCTCTCAGCCTCTCACAGGTTCCCTGATCAACTTGGCTGTCACTTCAAGACTGTATGCTCCACTCACTCTCTTCCAGCTGAGGCATGAGGGGACGGCATATAAAAGTTTTAAATAAATAAAAATAAATAAAATAGCCTAAATGCATCCTCTTCAAGTTCCTCTTTCCTGCATGTACTCTCTTGGCCTGAACCAGCCAGCCACCTTGCCACCTCTGGGCCACAGCACCAGTGACCAGGCCACCAAGTGTCTCGCTGTCTTCCCATGCCAGTGCTGCCACATATGAACACCCTGCCACCACAAGCAAAGAGGCCAACAAGCAGTGTGTACCACTTTTTATGGCTACCACCACTTTTGATGGCCAATTGTGGCACATGCAGATCCATGCATCCACTTCCTCTGGCTTCCATTGCCCAGGTGCGATATGCATGTGTGCCCAAAATACGTATGTGTAAACTAGATCATTTAAACAACCAACCTGAATAAATAACTGACTGGTAATCCTCTGATTTTTACAAATCTGTGTGGTGTCATCTGTGTAGAAACTTGATTGACACATGATCTCACCATTACCCTGTATAGCACTATCACCACTCTTTAACCAGGGACAATCAGTGGCAGGAAATATGGCTCCTCAGCTTGTTTTTCAGTCGACATTGTACAAGTGACCTTCTACAGGCATCCGCAGTCTTGCCTTGAGTTACTGGTTTGCTAAAAATTAGTAAAGAAAACCCCCTTCAGATCAGTTTTTAATTATTATGAAGATAAAGAGTGTTGTAATGCCTTAAAGAGCATTGCAGGACCTAAATTCAGTCTAGCATTCAAGGCTGAGATAATTTGCATGGAGGTTCCTATTTTCCTCCTGAAGAACTGCTGTCTTCATTTAAAGTGGAAGAAGAATTTTCCAATATGCAAGTCTTCACAGAAGAGTGGCAAAGGAGTGTTACACTGATATGGCAACATCTTGCACCTACTATCCCCATGGCTGAGATTAGTGACCAGGTGTCAGAGCAGAACTAGCGTTCCTCTTTTTAACGAGATGCAATTGGAAGTGATCCCTGGATGAATGGATGGGAAGCTGCTTTTTTTACTGAGTGGGAGTGTCATCCATCTAGCTCAGTATTTTTACTCTGAATGGTAGTGGCTTGCCATGGTCTTGGATGTTAATGTTCTCCAGCCATACTTCCTGAGCCCCTTTTAACAGGAGATGTCTGAGGCTGAATGTGGTGCTTTCAAGTTGATGGACTATATGCCACAGGCTCACACAGACAAGTTTTATTCAGATGAAGCTTTTCGATTGAGCTCTCTCGGGTGATGGCTTCTCTATTACAATAATCCAAATGAGAGGTTACCACAGGATGGATTACTGTTGCTTGGTTCTGTCTGGCCAGATAGGGTTGTAGTTGATGAATCAGCTGAAGCTGATAGAAAGTACTCCAGGCCACTGAGTCCTCCTGAGATCCCAGTGACAATTCAGGATCCAGGAGCACTCCCAAACTAGGAACCTTGTCCATGGGGGCGGGGGTACAACCCCATCTAAGAGAAGTGTAATAGCACCCACCTGGACAGAAGGTCCCTTCACCAACAGCACCTCCATCTTACCTGGATTAAGTTTTAGTTTATTGGCCCTCATACAATACATTATCAAGCCAAGGCATTGATTCAAAGTGGCCACAGCCCCACCTGAGTAAGATGAAAGAGAGGTAGAGCTGAGTTGTCAGCATATTGATGACATCTCAGCCCACATTTCTCAATAACCTCCCCCAGCAGTATCATGCAGATGGCGTAAATGCTCTGACACAGAGCAATAATCCCTCAGCACTATCTTTTGGAATTGGCGAGTCTAGGAGCAGAATCACTGCAATGCAGTTCCTCCAACTTCCAACCCACCTAGCCTATCCAGAAGGATACCATGATCAGTGGTATCAAAAGCTGCTGAGAGGTCCAGGGTGACCAAGGCAGTCTTTCATCCAAAACCAGGCCTGAAGCTCTATTGAAATGGATCAGGATGA